ATTAAACATTTCATTCTTTAAATTGTACTAGACATTGTGTCCAGTAAACAAAAAAGCTAAAACACAATAACATCACACAGGCTGGCAACCAAGACTGTTGCATATGGGCTTTGGGGATATTTAAAATGTAAGTCATGACAGAGTCCATCTCTAAGTCCTAACTGTTCCAGCATTCCTCTCCAAAGTCCAAATTCAAAGTCTCTTCCAAGCCTCAAGCCAATTCAGTTGTAAGCCCCTACAAAAATCAAAAAGAAAATTACATACTTCTAATATACAATGGTAGGACAAGCACAGGGCAAATATTTCCATTCCAAAATGGAGAACAGCGGCATAGGAAGGAAGGATTAAGCGGGGCATGGTGGCGCACTCCTGTAATCCCAGCATTCGTGAGGCTGAGGCAGGAGGATTGTTGCAAGTTTGAGACCAACCCGGGCTACAAAGTGGGCCCAAGGCCAACCTGAACTGCACAGGAGACCTTGTCTCAAAAAAACAAAACAAAAGGACTGAACATAAGCAAGATCAAAGCCCAACGGGGCACACATTAACTCCTAAGCCCCCATGCCTTGCATCCAGTGACAGAACATGAACTCTTAAGGGCTTGGTTAGCACTGTCCTCACGGCTCTGCTGGCTGCAGCCTACAGGGCCGTCTTGGGCTGGCTCTGACCACCGCCTGCAGCCTCCATTGAAAGATCCCGGCATCTCTAACTTTCTTGAATTTCCACTGCAGTCTTTGCCTTCACTTACACAGCTTCCATTATAGATAGCTGTCAGGGGCTACTTGCAGGGACTCTAAACCTGCCACACACTGCCTGGCACCCCAGGTTTGCTTTGAAGTCTCAGCACAACCCTCCATCACCCCTTAACTCTTGCTTTCTGCCTGGCTACAAAACCAGCCTCATGTAAACAATACCCAGATTGGATGCCAGCATGATCTGTACTGGAGCCTGATTAAACCACAGATGCAATAGTCTGAAAGCCTTGATGGCCAAACACAAAGGACTGATTTCTAGGGAAGTAATTCTCTAATTAGTCCTGTGCTAGCAGGGCGCCCTGGGGTTCTCTTCCCAAATGTTAAGTTTTTGAAGCAAGTTTATACTTTTATATCTATGAGTCTACAAGAGTCACGGTCTTATTAATGATTCCTGAGATACCTTCTATTCCTAATGCCCCATTGCAAAGTAGATGGTTCTTTCTCATGCCCTTGACCTCTCTAGTAACTGCACCGTGTGGCAACACCTTTAAATGTGCTCCTCCTCTTGCCAAACTGTTTTTCCTCTGCTCTTGGTTCTCATAGTAATGGAGCTGTAACACCCAGTAACACCCACGTGACTGCCTGAATGTTGTGCTGCCTTGACATTTTCTCTGCCAGATAAACTAGCCCATCACCTTTAAGCTCAGCCTCCCACAAAGCCTCACGCACAGGCAAAATGTAGTCAGATTTCTTTGCCACACTATAAAAAGGCTGTGCCTTCAATTGAATTCCCTGTTACTTATTTCCCTGTGAAACCTCACAAAAAATAACCTTTACTGCCTTTATAGTTAGCACTCTGGTCCTTGGCCCGACCAGAACTGCCCATTTAGCTCCTTACAGCATCCTAGATTTTCTCTAACCGGCTTCTCCAAACTCCTCCTGCACACCAGACCTGAAGGCTCATCCACATCACCTCAGGCAGGCATGGCAACAGCCCCATTTCTCAGTACCAACTTTGTTTGGCAGCATCGTATTACTCCAGCAAAATACCTGAGCTAATCAAGGTTTAATCCAGGAGGAAGAGGTTCATTCTGGCTCGGTTTCAAATATCTAAGTCCATACTCAGCTGGCTTCATCGCCTTGGGGGCTCTGGTGAGGCAACACTCCATGGCAGAAGCGCTCGGCAGGGCAAGCTCTACACCCCCACGGCAGCCAAAAGATGAGGGCTGGGTGTCCCCGTGTCGCTTTCAGGGACGTGCCTCCCAAGACTGCAGTATGTCAGACCCACCTCTTCAGTTCCGCCACCTCACAACAGCATGAGCTGGGGACCAAGCTTTTAAAGCAATATGCAAACCCAGGAACTAATTCAGTACACACACGAACACTAACTCTGAAAGGTCTCCTAGGAGGAAAGGAGGGAGCAAGGGAGAGTAGGGTGGGCTGGCAGCATTCACAATAGCTAAGGAACAGAGACATTTCCAAACGAAGAGAATACGGTACAGATATAATGGACTATTCAGACATACAGAATGAAATTCTGTCATTTGCAACATGGCTTAGGAGACCATAAAGTTCCAGCAAGTCTGAAGGACGCATGTGGAATCTGAAAGTGGATCTCAGAAGTTGCAAGCAGACTGGTGGTTATCAAGAGGCTGGGGAGAGTGAGGGGCGTAAGGAGGCAAGAAGAAAGCTACTGTCCTGCAGAAGTTGTTCTGGGGCTCCCTCGCACAGCAGGGTGACTATGGGTAGCAATTACAGTGGCACCTCAGTCCACAAACATTGCTGTTTGCAAACAATTTGGCTCACAAACAGAAGGGCTTCCCAACATTTTGTTTTTGTTTGCAAACTCTGCATTGGGTGACAAATACGACCAAGACCACATTTCAAACACAAACTTGGCCATCTTTTCCAAAATCAAAGAATAAATTAAGTTCGTGAACTGAAGTACTACTGCATATTCTGCTCATTTCAAAAAGAATTGAGTGTTCTTGGTATAAATGACAACTATTTAAATAGACTGTTTGATTTAAACATTACAAAACATATACAATCTGCTGAAATGTGAGTCATTAACACGTAAATTTTTTTGTTAAAAAATTATAGATAGGCATGGGGTTGCACGCCTGTAATCTCAATACTCGGGACGCTGAGGCAGGAGGATTGCAGAGTTTAAGGCCAGCCTGAACTGCAAAGTAAAACTTTGTTCAAAAGGATTTTTTTTAAAAAAGCCTAAAATAAAGAAAATATGCACAACTGCTGAATGGATGCTGTATAAAAATCCTTTTTACATATTGTATAAAAGTACATAGCTATGAGCATACAAATTGTTTGAAGAGGCTTGAAGAGCAAGCCAGTTTCTGAGATTATTTCTAAAAGGCAGAAGAGGCAGGAAGTGAAAGAGACTAGGAATGTATAAAAACATGCACCTTGTCTGCAACATTTTTAAAAAGGAAGGTTAAGATGCACTGATGTATTGCTCAAATAACTGAAAACCGAGACATTAGAATTCCTGTTGAACTTTTTCTTCTGGTCAAGATGAAGTGAGGCTACTTTTACTCTGAAGCAACTAAAAAAGACAAAATATATAAAGAGATTCTTCAACACATGGCAAAGAACAAGAAATACTGTCCCCGCTCCCTTCTTTGAATTTCAGGTCATGATGAAAGGGAACCCAGTTCATCATCCAAGGGGCACCGCACCCAGAAGGCCTTATACCTTAGCCCTAAAACAAATGTTACTCTCCCCTCACTGAGGGTCAACGTCCCAAAGGATAGTCTTCATGTAATTATGAACAATGTTCAAGAGTATTTATAAAAATTCAAAAACATCCAGCACCCACCAAAGCAATTTATATCTGGTACCCAATAAAAAAATTATCAGGTGTGCAAAGAAACAAGGAAAATACGATCTATTCTGGACCGAAATAAATCAACCAGCAGAAACTTATCCAGATGCTAGTTTTAGCAGATAGGAGCATTAAAAATTTTTTTCCTAAGCTATAAAATGATTCCGTATGTAAGGACAAAAATGGAAGACTCAGCAAATGAACATAAATGACATTTGAAATGAAACAGCATTTACTGGAAGACAGTGGATCAATCCCATAAGCTGTCTAAATGAAATATTCAGCAGGGCAAAGGGGACAGTCACCCACCCCATCACCACAAACTGAAAATTGGCTAGAAAGTTTCCAAATGTGATGAAAAGGACAGATCCAAGTAGCTCAATGAGCCCCAAGCACAAAAAATAAGGAAAACACTACATCATAATCAATTTCCTTAAAATCAGTAATTAATAGAAAAACCAGAAACAAAGACATGTCTGGTACAGAAGAGCAAAGTCAAAGACAACAGCATGTACGTCACAGCACACAACAGAAGCAAGACGACAATGGATCAGTACCCTTCAAACACTGAAACCAGAAGTCAGTCTAGAACTACAGCCAATGAAAACCTTTCTAAATCCAAGTGCATACCAATGTCTGTAAGGAACAATGGGTTTTGCATTTTAAGACAAATTAGGCAGAGAGAAAACACCTACACATGGAAAAAGAACTCATCAATAGCTGTACCAACAAGCCAACAGTAAACCTTTCTAACTAAAATTGGTAGTGAGAATGCAAGTCCTCCAGAAGGGAAAGTATCAGTAATAATGAGCACACTGAGTAATGTACGGTTAAGGATGGTATACAGGTAAATATACAGGACATCTTATCTGAACAACCTATCTTGTACCCTAATCTTATCACGGTAATTGTCTCTACAATGCTTTAGGACGAAAGCTTGTTACCTTTATACAATGCATACAAACCCCACATAAGGCCAGTGTGAAACGCAAGTGGGCAAGCCATTTAGTTCGCCAGCATCAGGGAGCAGTTTAATGTACCATGTAATTTTACCCAGAACGTGGCCCCAAGACCCAGATTTCATTTACTAGCTCATAGCTTTGTAGTAGATGTGGGTTCCAAGTAATCTAAACAGAGATCCAGTTTTTTCTCATGTATTCCGAATTAAAAATGCAGAAAGTCATATGTAAGATTTTAGAAATATAAAAACAAACAGTATTCTTATAAATTCCCAACGATTTGAGCTTGACTTGTGTCATCAATTTGCAGGTCCCTCCCATCCTCCCTCCAGCTGTCACTAAGTGGGCTGCTCCTCAGTGATTAATTCATACTACTGGCTGTCTTAAGAGAAGCACTAACAGTAGATGCTCCACCCCCCAAATACACCACTGACATAATTCCAGTAGAAGGTTAAAATTCACAATTAAAATACAAGACACTTCAGTCAATAAAGAATAGGCTAATTCAATAAACATGTAGATTTATTTTAAATCAGCTTGGTACATGATACAGATTGGTTTTAAATGAACTGAAATAGAAATTCCTAAATACAGCAGTGTCTGCCTGTGCATTAAGTATCTGTAAGGTAAAGTAAGGTATCTGACAGAACTCTTACCAGCATGAACAAATCAGATGAAAAATCTGAAAAGGTTTCTACATACCTTCTGGATTAAGAAAACCCAAAAATTATTGGCTCAAGATATTACATTGCTAAAAGGAAGGAAAAAATAAGGCTGTGAATTCTGTCGCAAGAGCTCCTCTGCAAACTTGCAAAATCTAACTTCATATAGTTTTGTTGTTAGAGAAGTGCTCAAAATTATAGAAACTTCCAATTATTCCCACAAAATTTCTTACATGTGTTGGCATTAATGTGTGGCAACCAATGCCTATCCAGGTGAGTGATGATTACAGCCCTGCAGCTCACTTTCGTCACCTTGTGAGGATGGAAATTCTGTATTTTCAAATGAAATCTTACAGCACTCACTAAATACTAACAGCCATGGCACCATAAAAAATTTTGTGAAGTACCTTAAATATCACTACTAATGGAAACACAAAGTTGTGAGGTAAGCCTATTTTCCAAAGTATCTTTGAAGCCAGAGATTTAAACAATTAAGGCACTTGAAAACATTAGGTATATGTACAAAGTGCACGTAAAACAAACTTGAGTTGTACCAGCAAGTGACAAAGAAACAGCAACTCTTCATTTTGAGAACCTTTAATATAATCACCTAAATACAAGGAGTTTCGGTTTAAGAAATGAACCAAAGCACTGTGTCAATCCCTACTCTAAAACACGGAAAAGCAACTGCTCAACTCAGCTACTATAGGCTAAGGAGAAAAATAAAATAATGATCAAAAAACCAAAAGCCTATTTTAAACTAAGGCCTCTGAATCCAATGTGTCCAAGGCAAGGGAGGAATAAACATCCTACAACTAAGGAAACTGGGGCTTTATGAGACTAACAGAAATGAAAGTAGCCCTGCCTGTTTCATGGGAACTGAAGTCAAGGAAAGGAAGTGAGAAAGGACAAGTGCGGTCTACACAGGTCAGTCTTCAGGAACTACAGTAACCAGGTCACAAGCGCAGGGCTTTGTGTGTGTGTGTTTGTAGAAAGGGTTTCATTTTGTAGTTCAGGCTGGCCCCGAACTCACAGAGATCTTTCTGTCTCAGTCTCCCAAGCGCTGGGATTTCAGATGTGCGCAACCATGCCTGGCTTAAAACCTATAGGTTTCATGAAATTACACAAGTCATATTTGCTCTGAAAACTTAAGTGATTGTCTCATTTAAAGATAAATCATTCCAAAACTTACTTCCTTTATAGCCTCATAAAAGTTATTTTCTAAGGAAGCTTGGAAGAAATCTTTCCAAGGTACAGTAACATTAGGGTATCTTTTTTGAGTATAAAGATACCTAATTAGTTTCATCTCTCTTCATCCCTAAGAAAAATGTTGGGAGGTTCAAAATACGAAGGCTTTCAACTCTGTAGCTTAACTTTCTCAGCTATGAAAAAAGATGTTTTAAATTAAATATTAACAGTATGGCATCTAGAGGCAGGTTCACTACTGCTCATTTGACAGTACATCCTCAGAACAAGTCATAAACAGTTTACATTACAGCCTACCTTCAATTCGTCTTTTAAGGCACTGTTCTTTATGTTCTCAATGATATAAGGTGCTTTTACAAATATGAACAACCTGCTACACACTAATGGTTGTATCCTTTCCATTCATTAAAGTCTGGAATGTAATTCCCTATTGTGGCAACTTATTTCTAATGTAGAAAAAAATAACATTGAGCACAAAATTTTATTCTAAGGATACAGTTTAGTACTACTAAATAGGTTAATTCCACTTCTGAAATGCTAGTCAAAAATCTACCCTACTGATGCTTGTTTGGCACACTTCTCAATTCTGGCCACTAGGTAACATCTTGAGTTAGTATGAAAATAATGCAGCTTTCAGGCTTTATGATGACTAAATTTAATCCGCCAAGAGTCAAGAGGTTGTCTGCAAAGGACATTTTCCATCACTTACAGAAAGTTATATTTGGCATGTCAAGAAAAGAAACATAATCCCACAGCAGCAGCCATTTAAAATAAAACAAGATAGCCCCAAGGATTCATGCAGAATATTTTATAAATATTCTTTTGAGCAAAATGGTTTAACTGACTTCTCTTCAGAGATGATGCTCCAAAATACCCTAATGTATCCTTTGTAAATTTAAAGTTCCTGGAATAGCATCTTCCACGTGGGACTTCTTGAAAGATAGGATTTTGGTTTCGGTGAGTTACACAAATGAACTGCCAGTCCTTGTTAATTTAGTATGTCCATTTACAGAGTATGGTAATTTCGTTCTTTAGATTTGCAGAATTTATAAAGAAAGAAAATTACAGCCTGAACACCCAAGACAAGGACAATTCCTCCAATGAAACTGGCTGCATCAAAGGTAGACTTCCGCACAGGTCCTAAGGTTGGAGCCAAAGTGGTATTTGCTGCACCTGGTATGATAAAAGGAACAATCCTTAATAAGTCTTGTGATCCTGTATTGCAACTTCAAGACCCACTTGACTTCTATTTTCCCATATGTCAAAGTACTTAAGCATCAAGCCTTTACAGCTAGAATTTATTCACTTAAGAAAGATAACCATTTATCATTCTTCACCTTGCCCAGTGATATGAACTGATCAATGAGGCCAAAACATTTCAAATATTGAGACCATACAGAAAAAGATTTTTCTCATATAAAAATTGTGTTCTAGAAACTTATCAAGCATGTTCAAAATATCTAGTAAGTTTGTTTAACTGTTAATGTACTAAAAATTCATGGTATTAGCCAGATGTGGTGGTGCACACCTGTAACTCAAGCACTCAGAAGGCTGAGGCAGGAGAATCACTGCAAGCTGGAGACCAACCTGGGCTACAAAGTGAGCTCAAGGCCTGCCAGAACAGCATAGCAAGACCCTGTCTCAAAAAGAAAAACAAAACAAAACAAAACATGACATTGAGTTTTACTAGATACTATACAAACAGTCATAATTTTTTAACTTACAAAGCACAGTAAGTCCCTAACTTAACAAACGTTCAAGTTGCAAACTCTCATAGGTGTAGCGTACACGAATCATTTTGTCAAATACGACAGTTCATTAAGTCAGGGACTTACTATAACTTGAAATGCCTATAATTTATAACTTTAACAAGAAAAGTAACTCATAATTAAAGACAACTTAAGTAGCACTATCAATTACTTTTGCATATGAAAAAGTATTACCAAGTCATAAGGAAAAAGAACATGAATTTCTTTCCAAGGAGTAAAAAGTTACTAAAAAAAGCATCAATTTAATAAAAAGAACTTAATAGAAGTATTACATTTTTTCTTAGTAAAATATCAAATAATGACAAACTTCAAAATTAATTATAAGCAGTCTCTCAGTGGTAGACTGTTTATTGTTTGCCTGGCATGTGCTAGTTCAATCCCTAGCTATCACCATTGTAAATAGCTTACTACTCTGATCCCCTACGTATCAAAAATGAGTTTCAGTTTACAATCATTCATGAATAAAATTGGAACCTCATCAAGAAACAGTAAAAGTCAACAATGTACACACATCCCTACATGCTATTAATTTAAAAAGTCTCAATTACCTGTTGTGGTAACTGTGGTGGAGGAAGGGGAAGGCGGAGTTGTGGTTTTAGCTGGAATTAAAAAGGAAAATGTATTTAAAAACCTCAGTCTGTAACTTTCCAATTATCTAACATTGTCTTTTAAAAGTAAGGCTACCAACTTCAATGTGTTTTCAATATTTCAAAGAACAGTATCTATACATCCAAGAATATTGGCCTTTGAATGTATTTTTAAATATTTGGCAACCATAAAATAGTATTTAAGATCTGACTATAAAAATCTATCCAGGCCAGGGATACAGCTCAGTGGCACAGTGTCTGCTTGCCACGTATGAGGTCCTGAGTCTGATTCCTGGTTAATCAACCCCCAAAATTTATGTATATATTCAGATAGTTTGAAAAAAAAAAAGGGCAGAGAAAGGTAAGAATGGTAAGTTCTTTTACAAATAAGCTTACTTCTAAGACAAAAACCATTCAAGTCATATGAGAATCAATTACAACATAGTATTCTCATGTGGGTACCAGATCCATCTGTCTTCTACACTTCAGAACTTGTAAATGTTCCTTTAAGGGGCAGTCAGTAAGTATTTCAGTCTTTGAGTACCGTGCAATGCCAAAGCAGTCAAAGACAAATACATTTTACACAAATAAGTGGGAACAGTGTATTAGGAACCTAAGGGTCGGCTCTAGTGTACCAGTCTAAGGTCAGAATACTATCTGCTGACCTCGGCAAGAAGTAGAACCATGTCTTCCTGTGAACCAGACTCTGCCATGGGGATTGGAAAGACCCTCAGCAAGAAGCAGAAGCTCGCCTTCCCAGGAGCTGGCGGGCGTCCGGGTGGGGAAACCAGAAGAGCATCAGGAGAGCACACATGCCCTCCACACAGCCGGAGTGAGCAACTGGCTGACGCGGGGGCCTCCGGGTTAAGCCGACAGCAACTGGAGTAAAAGGGACAGCCAGATACTGACTGGGCAGGCCTGGGCTGGTGGTCAGGCATCTACTTGGGAGGGCGGTAGTGTGCAAGGACTACAGGAGACAGAGGCTCAAGTTCCTCATCACGCTGCAGGAAATAATTAGGTCATGCTTCAAGGTGCTGGGGCTCCACTACAAAGGTGTGCTGCCTACCAAAGTGGGTGGCTACGAATGATCTGGGGAAAAAGCTTGCATTCTTATAAAAAAAACTGTTACAGTTTTAACACTGTTTCAGAAAACAAGATCTGATGGCCTGAAAGAATCTGACAAGTATTTACCTCTGCTTAAACTATATAACTGGAATAGAAGGCTTTTTGCAATGTTCTTATCTATGTAATTCTTATCTTTGTAAATCTTGCCCTTTGTCTTCGATGAAAAAGTCTGTAAATACCTGAACTCTTTTTGGCACCAGCATTCTACTGTTTGGCACAGAGAGGTAAGGCAGTACCAGGGACTGAATTCATGGCCTTCTCACTGAACTACAAACATCCCAAACTCACTTTTAAGTTTTTATTTTGATAGGGTCTAAATCCCTATAAATTGGCTCAGCCAGTGTGAATCTGTGATCTTCCTGCTTCAACCTAAGTAGCTGGGACTACCGGCTACTGCACCCACCATGATTTCCCATTAGTATTTCTGAGTCTCAGAGCTTTATGACTACTTGTTAGCGACTTAAAACAATCAAAAATAAAACTTCAAACATGCGTCATCCAAATTCTACTAATACAGGAGGTTCTGTGCTACAACAGCAATTATACACCTAAAGCTGGCTGTAAGGCAAAGAATGTCACTACAAGTAGAGCTATCAAGACTAGGGCTCACTTACAGGCAGACAGACAGCTCTTATTCTAACGTTACCAGGATCCTAGGAGGCTAAGGCATTCTTATTTTTACAGAACCATGAATACACAGGGAGCTTACTGCTACTTATGAAAGATCTGCTCAGACTCCTACTAGGGTTGACACTACCAACAGGACACCGATGTTTCACACTTGTAGCTTCTCCATCTTGTGTGGAGCAATGCTGCACGAACTTCATTCATCTTGCTCCTCACTGAACAGTGCTCATTCCTCTAAGCTATAAACTCCTCATTCCCACCTCCGGACTGAAACATACGATTCCTACAGTAGAGTAGTACCATCATTTTAATGCTCATTACTTAAAGTTTCTGTTATTTGTATTAAGTGCATATTCAGTGTGGGCAAAAAACCTAAAAAACTATACACATTAAACATATCAAGTTATTTTTTAATCTTAAAACACTACCAATTTTTAAACATTATGAAGAAAAATTCTGCAACTTTGGTATTTGAGACTCACTATATACTCTCACAGCAAGGTAAAAACTAATTGTTTTTGTAGCCAGGCATGATGGTGTATGCCCATAATCCAGGCACTCAGGGAGGCTGAAGCTATGATCACCAAACTCAAGGACAGCCTGAACAACTTTGTGAGATCTTGTCTCAAATTAAAAAAATAAAAAAGATCTCGAAGTATAGCTCAGTGTGAACGTGCTGGGTTCAATTTCTAGTAATGCAAAGAACAATTATTTTTGCAATCAAGCAAAACAACGTAATTTTGAGAATAGTACTATTTTGAAAATAACACAATAATTAAGGAGTACACATCTATCCACATTGAAGGTTCTTTTCATTAAGAAAAACTCTAAACTGTTGTTGGTACTTGTTTCCTTAACTGTCCCTTTTTCACTTCCTTCTTCCACAAAAGTACTGCGCACAAGACATGGAAAGCAACACCTAAGGTTTCTCTCTCAACTTCTGAATTCCAGTTAATTGATGCATATCCTCCTCCTCCTCCTCTTTTTTTTTTTTTTTTTTTTTTTTATAAGACAGTGGCCAGGCACATTAGGCTGGCCCTCAACTCGCAGCAGTCCTGCTTTAGCCTGCCAAGTGCTGGGACTACACGTGTTGATACATATTCCACAGGCAAAGTGTAGCCTCGTTTCATTTTACAGAAACACAGATTAAGCAATGGAGATGCGAGGCCAGGGATAGAACTCTGACACAGCACTGTGCCTCAAAAGCATGAGGCTTGAGTTTGACTCCTGGTACAAAACAAAACACTGAAGACTCATAGCTAAGTATACTAGCACGTTCCTGTCTTCTCACTACTCTGGAGGCTGAGGCAGAAGGCTAAGAGATGAAAAGCAAAGCAAATTAAAAATGGTTTTAGGCTATGCATCCTCCAATTTCTGCTTACGTTCCATCTTTGGGAAATCAAGTTTTTCTCCCAACACCTCTACTTCACCAATCTTTAATATCCTCCTTAGGCAATGATTCCCAATGAAGGCTAAAAGTTTATAAGCACATTACTGTGCATAACGATACAAAACGGACTGAACCCTAGGAGCACTGAGCCCAGGCCTTTTAATTACTGAGATTCTGTCAGAGAATCTAAGTAGCCCGGGCTTATCTCAAAAGTAAAATCTCTGGCCTCAGCCTCTAGAATAACTGGCCCACAGGCTGTGCCACCATGTGTTTTCAAATTCTGTACTTTGTAGCACTTACAGACTTCTGTGGCTATTTCCACTGTGATGTAAGTTATCAAGATGGAACGCTCAAGAAAGAGCGAGGGCCTGCTGTATGTTGGTACGTATAAGTTCAAGTCCAACCTGGTCAACTCAACAACTGAGGGACACTCTTAGTGGGCCAGCACCAACACAACAATGCCCAACTCCTTTAAGCCTAACTGCATGCATCTATAGCTCTTTCTATTTGTGCTCCAGGGGCTGGGAATTCAGCTCAGTGGTATAAGCGACTGCCTTGCAAGCGTGCGCTCGTGAGTTCCATCCTTAGAACGGATTTAAAAAAAAAAAAAAAAAGGCAATTATCTGTGCTCTGCAATTATCCTAATAGGTATCTCATCTCCATTTCTCTAGTCTTCAAATCTACTCTCCATGTCCAGAAAAAGTCATTTTTATAAACATATGAGTCTGATTGCATGACCTACAAGACTTCTGTGTATACTCACTCTGTTTACTGTTCCTATAGGAGACAAAACGCTGGTTTACTTTTGTCTACATCTTAATCATCTAGCCTAGCACTTGTCCTGGAACAGATGCGCTTCATATATGTAAAAATCTAAGTATTTAACTCTTGTTAAAGAATTAGCAGATTGAGCAGGTGACGGAAAACCTTCCAGTTGTTGATGGAAACAAACATCACAAATCGTTCTGAAAATCACTCCTCACCTTTAGTCACGTCTCCTCTAACCTAAAATTATCTGAATATCCTATCAGCAGTAACAAATATTACCCCACTGTTCAAACAAGGGAATAATGGGTAAACAGTGTGTACCACAATCTTACAATAAGAAAGGAAGTATCTAAAGGTATAATTTCATAAAAAGTACATATCTAGAAATACATATTCAGATCTAGAAATACATATATATGGGAGAGGGGGAGAGCCAAAAACCAGAAAGAAATTAATCACTGAAAATATTCTGAACACCTAGATGACAGAAATTATAATTTCCTTTATGGGCCTATATTTCCTGGAATTCCTACATCCATAAAACACAGTTTATGAGGGCCAGGGATACAGCTCAGTGGCCTAGTGCCTGCCTGGCAAGCTAGAGGTCTTGAGTTTAATTCCTGATACCAAAAAAGGGAACAAAATAGTTTATGAACTCAATGCACAAAGTTGCAGCAAATCTGCTGATATTCAATGACTATGAAATATCGGGGTTATGTGTCAATGCCACATACAATATATACTTAAGTAATTATTGTAGCCCTAATTTTTTTTTTTAATCGGTACTGGGGATTGAACTCATGACCACCTGCTTGCAAGGCAGGTGCTTATGCTGCTGAGCTAAATCCCCAGCCCCCAAGACTAATTTTCTAGAGATCTTTAAAATTATACTAACTCTTAGGTATTAAATAAAAAGAAAGCTTTAAAATCCTGAAAGACAGTACTTTCCAGAATCAATAACTGGGATCACGTCTTATTAAAAAGTTTCTGCATGTCAAAAGAAATCTCTAGCACAGTGAAAAGAAAACTCATAAACTGGGAAAAAAAAATCTTAGTGAACTGTCCCTCAGACAAAGGACTTCTGTCTAAAATATATAAAGAATTAAAAAAAATCAGACCCTTGAAATTCAAAACCCAGTCCAATAATGAGCATCTGAGATGAATACACAGTTCTCAGATGACGAAATACAAATGGCAGATAAATACATGAAAAAAATGTTCATCATCATTAGTCCTTAGAATGCAAATTATAACACTGAGATTCCATTTCACCCCAGAAAGAATGGCCAGGATCAAGAAAACTACCAACAACAAATGCTGGAGAGGCTGTGGGGAAACAGGAATTCTCCTGCACTGTTGGTGGGAGTGTAGACTTGTATAACCACCGTGGAGGTCAGTCTGGAGATTCCTCAAAAAGCTGGGATTGGAAGTCCCATTTGATCCAGCTATTCTGCTTCTAGGCATATTCTCAGAAGAACTGAAAATATCATACCACAGTGATATGTGCGCACCTATGTTTATAGCAGCACAGTTTGTAACAGCCAGATCTTGGAAACAACCTAAGTGTCCATCAACTGAGGAATAGATAAAAAAGCTGTGGTATTTTTATACAATGGAGTAATACTCAGCTATAAGGAATGATCACATTGAGATATAAATGGACACAGCTTGAGACCACACTCATCAGTGAAATAAGTCAAAATCACATGTATAAATAGAGTATAGTCTCCCTAGTGTAAGAAATGGTAAAAGTACGTAAGATTTTATGGTAATCATGATTTTCCACTACATTGCTTTGAAGCCTTTATAATGTTTTCATTCATTAGCTGGAATGGTTTTATTCTGTTTTGTTTGATTTTATTATCTGTGATGTTATGAACAGCTATTTTGAAGAAAACAAGACATTATGATAGCCACTGCTGATTTAATATCATCTTGCTTTTAAGTCCTACCATGCTTTTGTTCTTCTGTTTCCACTGGTTCTATCATGTTATATCTTATTGGATTTTAATATGTGTGATGGTATAAACAAAGTTTTTATGGAAAATGAGATAATATGGTAGCCATTGTTCATTTTCGGTTATTTGGTTCTGAATGCCCTGTAATACTTTCATTCTCTTGAATGGTTTTACACTATTTTGTTATGTTTGATACTATTGTATGTGAAGGTATGCTCAACTATTTCAAAGAAAGACATTATGGTAGCTACTGTTAATATCAGGTTGTCTTGTGGTGAAGTACTGTGTTGCTTACATTGTTCTGTTTTGATCTGTTTTGTTCTGTCCTCTTTTGTCTTAATCTCTTTAAAATAAAAAATTTTTTAAAAAATGCTAAAAGATAAAAGAATCATCATCTTGAATTACCTGTTGCATTGGTTGGCCCTGGAGCAGCAGTAGTGGGCACTATTAAAAACAAAATACACAACAAAGCAGTATAAAATATCACCATCTATAACACTATTTCACAATCTGCAATCATGAGTAAGTACTACTTTCATGACATTTACAATGTAAGAGAAGGACAGTTGCCCCACCAAATACCAGTTTCCCTGCTTCTTTACAAATGGATCCACCAAATTCCAGTGACACTTCTCTTCTCCAGGGAAGGGCTATTTTGTTTTGTTTAGGCAAGGCATTTTTAGCCTCACTGGCAGCTAAGTAGTCACGTGTAACTTCTACCACACATCTTTAAGATAGCTGTGAGCCTCCATTTTTCTGTTCCTACTACTAGGAAAAAAATCAATGTGTTGGCTAAAACATGAGCACCCTCCTCAGAGAGGAAGGTCGAAGCAATTTTTGAGAAATGATAAATGAAAACCTAAAGGTTTGAACCTGTAATGGTTGTAGAGTTACGCCGCTATACCTTTAATTGTACTCTAGCCCAGATTTCTTCACATGAGAAAGAAGTAAATTTATTCACTGCTTCAAAGTAGCTGTAATTTGGGGATTATGTTTTTTATAGCCAAATTCTAACTGGTATATCATCAAAGCAGTGCTACTACCTTTCAATTTTTCTTTAAATAATATTTTAATTTTGTCTCCAAGACATTCATGAAAACAAGCTCTGACAGTTACTAGTTTTTATTAATACTCATTAAAATTACTATTTAAAATGTTTGCTCATCTAAAATCAATGTGGTTTATTATGTATTCTACATACCATAAACTAAAATCTCTAGTTACAAAGTTCATGTTAGGATGTGGAAACCCTTACCAAAACTGAATAGTCAAGTTATAGGTAGTCTGTAAAGGTTACTGATAATCTACAAACTACTTTTACTGTATTCAATTATTATCTGTGTCAAATTAGGAGTCTGACCTTTTCATCTATTATCTCATTAGAAAAATCAATGTTTCAACCAGAAGCTTTAATGATTACGGCAGAGTAATCAAGTCCCCCAAATTAAGTTCCCTAAATTAAAGTAAAAAAGTAGATAAACAGTCGTTTAGCCATAACACAACTGAGGCTAGAGACTAAAACATCACCAAATCATAACGAGAATTTGTCAGAACAAGGTTGTCTAGGCCTGCAACATACAAGTACAGGCCTAAGCACCAGTGTGTTCCTCGAAAGTCAGGAGATGCAAGTATTTACACTTAGAGCACTCCACAGTGTAGTTAAAACACTAGACTAAGTTTCAACATAACACTGTTTATCAATATGAATGTTATTCATACCCAAATTTCTAACAAGATTAGAATTACAGCAATGTTTCAAAGAAAACACTGAAACACAGCTTTGAGGCACTGGTTTTTCTCAGCCCTCTGTGGCTGTTTTCCCCAGCCACCAACATGGAGACTTACCAGAACACAAGGCAGTGTTGTTCACCACGCTACAATTGCTAACCGTTGAATTATCAGAACAGTAGCTCTTACTCGCTATGGAAAACAAGAAACAAACACCAATCACTCGTTTGTATTATCTCTGAATTTGCTGGAACATTTTCTAAAACAGAATCAACTCCAACATAAATTCTTTGTTTTTTGAGATAGGGGCTCACTATGTAACACAGATAGGCCTTGCACTCATGGGACCCTCCTGCCTCAATCTCCTGCGTGCTAGGCTTACAGGTGTGCACTACCACACCTGGCTCAACATAAATTCTTTAGAAGTCCACAAATACAGGTATTCTTCTTTTCCCATTGTCTTGGAGATATCAGATGTCACTCCTCAAATTTTATCCTTCTACTAATAAATCCATTTACCATTTTAGTGTATGTGCTGCCGAAGCAAGCACCAAAAACCAAGTACCAAACAAACCTGAAATAAAATTAAGGTGTCGTAATACCAAGAAAGGCAGCCAGAAATCTATACAAGAAGGTGAGAGTTGCCAAGAAGTGATCAAGATCTTTTCATAAAGGCTTAGTAAACATAGGTGCCCTACAGTGGTTAGGTTACACACGCCTAATCTTCTGCTTCAGGCTTGTGCACTTCATAAAACAGCTCTCCTAGATGGCAAACTAGGAGCAAGCCTGGGGAGAGGCTGGATGTGGTAGTACACACCTATAATCCCAGCACTCTGGGAGGCTGAAGCACAGGGTTACCAATTTGTTCCTGGCCCAGGCCTGGAGTTCAATCTCCTTATACCACTCTCTACGTCTCCCCACAAAAATGTAAGGAAGAACATTCCTCAACTAATCTTAAAACATAGAACATCCAACCTTCAAAACTTGCCAGTTCTTTTATACTACCATATACAGTGAGAATGTGCACCCTATAAATTCCATTTTATGATAAAAAAATAACTTTTTACTGGAGAACATTTTGTTTTGTTTTTTGGTATCAGGGATCGAACTCATGACCTCACGCTTGCCAGGCAAGGCAGGCGCTTATGCCACTGAGCTAAATCTTGGGCCCTAAAAAAATGACTTTTTAAACAAAATGTTAATAAACCCTAAGTTAAAACTTATGTTTTAAAGCGCCTTTTTGAATCTGGGTGTGGTGGCAAAGATCTGTAATTCCAACACTCAGGAAGCTGAGGCAGAATGATCCTTTCAAGTTTGAGACCAGTTTGGGCTACAAAATGAGCTAGCTCAAGGTCAGCCTGAACTGCGTAATAAGATCCTGTCTCAAAAAGACAAATAAATAGCCTTTTAATTTTCTGCAATATAATTTCTAGAACTGTTCAAATTTTCACTGGGGAATAAATTAAACATGCAACTTTTTCTTTATTTTAAAAACCTAAATAAAAGACTTTTGGTGATAAAAAATACAAACACCTTACACAGAAACGAGTAACTTGATGGGATAATCTCATGATTTTAACCATAATCTTTCTTATTCATGCCCTGATGTACCTTCATCTAACTCTTTATCCCTCAATGGTTTAAAACGGAAAAGCACAAGGCCGGGGACTTAGCTCAGCAGCACAAGTGCTTGCCTGGCAAGCTTGAGGTTGTGAGTTCCATACCGGGTAGCCCCCAAAAAACTTAAAAGCACACACAACAGTCAACTTTCTCCCTTCTATTCCTCCACTATATCTGAGTATCCAACAAAATTTCATAAGGTCTCTTTAATACTATAGTTCACTTTGTGAGACAAAAGATAATTAAAATCTGAGTTTTCAAAGGAAAATCACATACTCTTTCACAGCTAATTCAGTATATTAACACAACTTAAACCTTACGAAGATTTACAATCTCTCTTCTCTGAATACTAAGTGAACTTTGATCACTAAGTCTAAGAAATCAAATGAGACTGGATTTACTGGGTAGTGTTAAATGACAAACACTATGACGTACTAGATTTGCAAAAAATATCGCACAGTATCCTAAATAAGCTGCAGAATTGTCAAATGTTCATGAAACCCTGTTAGGTGTTTTCCAAAAACATCACAAGGCAGTTTTGCACACTCAAAATTACAGCAAGCCCAAAATGTCTTACCTTCTTTACAGTCTATCCAATAGCAAGTAGTATTAGCAATACTTGAATTAAAACAGGAAAAACAGCTTTTGTGGTGTTCACAGGTTTCTGGGGAGAAAATGTATGAGATCTATGAATTGGTATCTCATCTGAGTTTAATTACCTCTTTAATAATAAACACATATAGTATCAAAATTAGTAATTCAGAGAAATGACAAAACTTTACAAACTGATTTATTAAGAAACTAATCAGCTATGATCAAGACTACTATCAGGAGAACATTACCCATCAACTGAGACACAAGAATTTTTAAGGCTAAAAGAAATTTTTTTAAAATTAAAGATTAAACTTAAACTGATTGTAGCACCCTGAAAATGAGTTAATATCCCGGAGATTCATTTTCTCCACAACTGGAACCATCTAAAAGGGACACATTTACACATACACATGGGAAGTTTAATAAATAAGCTTGCAAGGTGTTTGCAAATAGTTTACCTAGACCACATGGTCCATAAACAACAACTCAAAACTGGATACTTCTAATATTGTCAATTATTTTCCTCTTGCCTAAAAAAGTTCGGGAGAAATGTTTTACTTCAATAATTTTATTATTAGGATTTACTGAAAACGGGAATGTCTGATACCCTAGGACAGAAAGGGTGTTCACAAAGTGGAAATAATTCTTCAGATCGTACCGCTACCCATTTAATGTCTTTGACACTAGATGAAGGAGGAGAGTGAATGCTATTTACAATGAACTGAACTTGCTAAGTACTTCTCAGACCGCAGCTTATTTAACTACGATTTCCAGAATATACAAATTATCTCCTTTGCATCCCCTTCAAGTACCCAAAGGCAATTATGTGTGTATTTCCAAGCCTCTCTTAAAACAAACCACATACTACAATTCTGAGGAAACTGCGAAATAAGCAGAAGACAAAAACAAAACAAACAAAACTGCTCTATCATCTTAACATGGCGTGGTCGGCATTCCCAGTAATACATTACAACTTACATTCCTCATTGAAAAATATTTACACTTTACTATACCTTTGTGAATCTAACCAAAAATACTAAGTTTATCAAGTATTTTATTTCATTAAAGTTTACAAAATACTAACTAGGGAAGACAGTTCGGTCAGCGCGAGAAAAAAGCCACCGCAAGCCCATACATTTCAGCAATCCTTCAGTTAGGAAATCAAGCTACTTCTTACGCACTCTTAATCAACTTGAGCAATCATACTAACTAAACAGCTAGTATTTCTTCGCTTTATTGCTTCAAGTCTGTCGTCTCTCTTTCGAGTTGCCACAGCATATGCCAACTTCAGGCTTAAAGATTTGAGAAGATCCGAAAAACTTCAGACCTTAACCAACCCCACTCTACTGCACGTCTAACAGAAAGTGTGTTCTTTGATCGCGTTTTTGAAAATCAACAGAGCTGGGTCCCAGCTCCACAGCCTACTGAACACACGGCCTCGACCTGTATCTCCGTCTCTCCCTCTGTCTCCTGGTTTCACCCCCCATCTTGCAGTTTCGCTCTAAGTACTGGAAGATGCACGCGATTAGCGCTGGAAGTTCGGGCGTGGGTACTTTTCTTTCCGCGCACACAGAGAGCAACGTAAAGTTTTCGCTAATCTCAAGTTCAAATCTCAGAAAGATCCCTGCACATCTGCAAAGTCAACATGATGAAATTGCAGGCGACTCCACGCTCAGATCGCGCCCAAGACGCGGGCGCTGCTCCCCCCCCTCCTCCTAAGTTTCTCTTTCCCCCTTCTGCCACTTCCGGGGAGGCCCGGGCCGCGGGGCCACCGGCCCGGGAGGGGAAAGTTCGGTTTCCGCGCCAACTTCGGAGCGCGTCCCTCGTCCCGTCTCTCGGCCCGACGCTGCCACCGCGGAAGGGAACTCCATCGCCACTCGCCAACCTGCAGCGAGCCACCATCTCCCAGGCGCTTGTGAAAGGCGCCCCGGCGCGCAGCGCCACGGGGCGAAAGCGGCCCGAGGCCACCAGGGCTCGCCCTCCCCTCCCCGCCCGGCGCTCCGCGCTGGCCGCGCCGCCATGTTTCAAGAGTCGCCGCCGCCGCCACTCGCCCGGCGGGGCCCGGCCGGTGCGTCCCGGAGGGAGAGGACGGCGGGGGTGGCGCGCGAACGCGAGGGGCCTGTTGGGCCGCGCCTACCTAGCGCAGGGGTGGTGGTCGGCAGAGCGGTCGTCGCGGTCGTTGGGATTACACTGATGGGCTTAGAACTCGAGTTCGCTGGCTCGCTTGGGATCTCGGTGACGTTGGGGCTCACGGAGAGCGCAAGCTGCAGGCACGCCACGGCCAGGCAGGTGGCGGCCCAAAGGAACTGGCGGGAGACCCCCGACATCGTGTCCGCACCGCTGGCGTCCAGGCGAAAGCTGCGGCGCACAACGCTCGGTCAGAGCCTCCGCCCCCTGCGGCGCCGCCTCCCGACTCCGCTGCCCCGCGGGAGCGCGCAGGGGTCACGTGAGGCCGGTCCGGGGCGTGCCAGGCGAGGGTTGGGAGAGGCGGGCGCGGACGAGACCACCGTAGTTCTTTGGGGGGAGCAGGGGCATCCAGAGGGAAACAGGGCGACAGTACGATAGAGAGAACGCGTTCCTTGCGGTGCAGATGGTTTTGTGGCCTTCATATTGCCACACATGATGTGAAGCAATTGTCCTCTTCATTTTTGCGTTAGAGTTGTTCACCCTCGGCTTGATTGGTACGGTCCACATGACGGCGCTGGCGGGGTCCGCAGGAGCCCCCTGCCGGGCGGTCACTCAACGAACCCACGTGACCTACGAGGCCGCGCCTCCAAGGTCGGGCGGAAGTTGCTTGACCGCCGGGCAGCAGCGAGAGTGAGTTAAGTTTGTCCCTCGTTTCCTGATTCCCAGAGTGCCTAAGTCTGTCTTCAGGAGGAGCCGCGGGGTCCTCCTGGAAGATCGGTTTTGTGGGACTCGGGGCAGTGGAACCCGGACCACGCGGCTGGGGAGTTTCTGTTGTGCCGCCCGCCCAGTGCGACTGCTTTGTGGGCCGAGGGCCGACTCGTACTTTCCCGGCCTCCCTCATCTCAACTGTCCTTTCAAACGGCGGCGGGCTCCGTCTCATTCCCCTGCTGTAGTCAGAACCGAAGGTCGTTTCCCGTCCATCTCCCGTTTCCCCCCGCTCGCGGACGTGGAAGTCGAGACTTAGGCAATGGACCGGACCTAGTTAGGAGCTTGCCTCCGGTCGGAGCTGGGCTTAGTGTCAGGTGTTGGGCGCGGCTCAGACTTTTAGCAAGAGTGAGCGCCATCTGATGCCAGTCTCGCAGAACGCTTGATGTGCGTCTATCGGATGGTAAAAAAAAATTAAGATTTTAAAAGCTGTGTTCCTTTCGACTCTTTAATTTTTATGAGTAATTTTAATTATACTTTAATACGAGTATTTTGTAAGGTCTTTTGCTGTGCCACAAACACAAAGAACTAAGCACTTTATAATTTTTTTGCCTAAGAAAGTTTTCATTACTGCCCTAAATCAGTGTGACCCTTCTATGGCTCTATGAACATTTTTACTATTAAGCTATACCATGTAGGGGTTTGGTCAGATGTAAACAAGAAGGGTGGGTTTTGACTGAACGTAAGGTTGGAAACCAATCTTCAAATAGATGAGGTTCCACCAGATGTTTGATAAACCATGTTCAGCACCTAACCACCTGACACCCAGGCTACATGAAGGCATTAGTCAATTTTAGTCTTTCAAGATTGACTATGATAGAAATTCTGTTTTTTGTTTGTTTGTTTTGTTTGCATTCCCCCAATGAATTATCTTGCTTCTACCCTAGGACAAACACAACCCCAGCAGAGACCATTCCTTAATAACTTTTACTCTGGTCCTCAGGTTTTCCATAATCTAGGTGAGGGGACATCTCACTGTTTGTTTTAGTACTATAAAACTGTTGGCTCCTTACATTCTACATAATGTCTACAGGACTCTATCAAGGAAGCATTCCAAAGTCATTTTCACCATTTAAAGTATTGTCATAGTTCACTGAGATTTTAGGCTGGCAATTCTTGCTTGTCCTGTACATTATAATTTACCAGCAAGCCTGACTTCTACCTAGTAGAAGCCAGAACCACCCTCTCACTCAGGTGAGCAAACCCAAAATATCTCTTGATGGTAAGTGTCTCCTGAAATTAAACCAGCCTCAAGCAAGAACCATTGCCCAACAGGCCTCAGTTTGCAAGTTCAGCTACCACTTAAATTACTTGCACAGATATGTCTGCAATTAGATTATTGATTGGATATGGGAGCCACTTTCTCAGTAAGTATTTTTCTTGTAAGCAACAAGACAGTGCTTGGTTCTGTGCATCTACCAGCAGCATGAGCTCCCTCTACTATTTTTTTTTTTTTTTTTTTTTTTTTTTTTTTTTGCTTTTTATTGGTACCGGGGATCGAACTCACGACTGCCTGCTTGCAAGGCAGGCACTTATGCCGCTGAGCTAAATCCCCAGCCCCAAGCTCCCTCTACTTTTTAAATAGAAAATTACAACAGATTCCTTCCTCTGGACACCTTCACCCAAACAGACAAACAGGAATCTGCTGGAAGCTATAACCAGTACTGAATAGTCTATGAATCAGAAGTTTGATTCTATTATTTGATAGCAAAGAATTGAACTAGCTGATGTTAGAGGATTCACTGGATTCTGTACATGCTGAAGATTAAAATTGGACCCATATCTTTCACTAGGCACTAAACTAAATTTGGAATGGGTCCAAGATCTAAATAGTAAACCAGAAACATTAAAACTGCTGCAAGATAGAATAGGCAAAACTCTTGAAGACATTGATGTAGGCAAAAGCTTCATGAATAAAACCCTGATCATCCAGCAACTATCAAAAAGAATCAGCTAGGATCTCATCTTACCAAAAAGCTTTTGCACAGCAAGAGAAACCAACAGAGTGAATCTCTGAAAAAATATTTGCCGGCTATTCTCAAAGGAATACTATCAAGAACATGTAAAAGATCTCAAAAAAAATCAGCTCTCCCAAATTTAAAGACCCAATCTAAAAATGGGATCTGAGATGAATATATATTTCTCAAAGAAACACGAACAGCAAATGTGTGAAAATGGTCATCATCACTGGTCATTGAAAGGTGCAAATTAAAGCTACACTGAGATTCCATCTCACCCCAGAAAGAATGGCTATTACCAAGAAATCAAGAAATAATATATGGGGGCTGGGGATTTAGCTCAGCATAAGGACCTGCCTTGCAAGCAGGCAGTTGTGAGTTCAATCCCCGGTACCAATAAAAAAGAAAAGAAATAATATATGCTGGAGGGGCTGTGAGGAAAAAGGAACCCTTCACTGTTGGTGGGAGTATAGATTGGTGCATGGAGATTCCTCAAAAAACTAGGATTGGAGTTCTGTTTGACCCAGCTAGTCCCCATCTGGGTATCTTCTCAGAAGAATTAAAATCATCACACCACAGTGATATATGTGCACCCATGTTTAAACAGCACAGTGTAATAGTTAAATATTGGAAACAACCTAAATGCCCATCAACCAAAGAATGGATAAAGATGTATTTTTATACAATGGAGTACTACTCAGACATGAAGGAGACAGGTAAATGAATGCAACTAGAGATCATACTCATAAGTGAAATCAGACTCACATGTGTAAACATCATATTGTTTCCTAGTGTAAGAAACTGAAAAAAGTAAACAAGATCCAAAATGTACAATACATATTGTAAAGGGAAGAAACTGCTCAAAAGGAAAGAACAGTTGGGATGGGGGAAAGGAGAAAAGATGGAAAGGAAAAGAAAAAAATATATGTGATAGCTAAGATAATCATACTACTATTATGTTAATTCATTGAAAAGAACAGTTTGTGCTTACATTACTTATCAATTTTAATGCACACTTGAGACCATACTTGTAAGTGAATAAATCAGACAAGCATGTGTAAACATCATATTGTCTCACTAGTGTGAGAAGCTGAAAGAAACATGGATATTTGTATGTATCTGTATATAAAAATAGTTAAGACAGTTACACTACTGATTTCTCTGTGTTCACTCAAGAGAAAGATTTGTGCTGGTATTGTTGGGACAGTTGAATGCAGATATCTTCTGCTCTGGATAAATGATTTGAGGATGACAATGTACAACGTACATACCATTGTTGCCCCAACTGACATGTTTTGAAATTTTTCCTTTTCTTTTTTTCTTTGAAATAAAAGAGATTTTAAAAAATTTTTCTTTCATGCCCTTATCTTGTAGTCTGAGCAACTACTTTGAAGATAACAAAACACAATATATCAATCATTGCTAAACTCCTATTATCTTGTTTTGAAATTCTCTATCATTGTTTTTATTGGTTTTTCTATTTTAAAAAATTGGACTAAAGAGAGATCATCCTTGAAAGGCAAAACAACTTTTGCTCAGGGTGAGCAGAGTACAATGGCTCTGGGAGAAGAAGGCCACATGGGTGGAGGGGTGGCAGGAGCTGAATGAGTTTACCAATAGGAGACTCAAGCACCTGGCTGACAGCTCCGAGGGGACTGGAACTGCACACAGACCTTCTGGCTTACAGTGGACTACTGCTATGCACGTAAACACTGGGAAGCCAAGTATAGTGGCTCATGTCTGTAATCCCAGCATGCAGGGTCTGAAGCACTGTGGCAGGAAGAGCAGGAGTTCGAGGCCAGTGTGGGCTACACAGTGAGTTCAATGCCAGCCTGAATTACGTAGTATAACTCTGTCTCTAAAAACCAACCCCAACACCATGGAGAAGAGCATGAAATGAACACACAATCCCTGTCTCACACCTAGAGATTCCCACAGCTACAGACTCTGACTCAGGAGGTCAAATGCAGACGGCTCAGCCCTCTGTATTTTACAAGCTCCCCAAGCCATGTGTGGGTTGGAGAACCCTACATTAGGCAGCAGCTGATAAAGTGGATCTCTGATGATGTCACATGGGTTAACCACCATGGAGATTGAAACCCACACCCTTGATTTTTATGTGGTTGGTGTGTCCCAGAGAAAAATGGACTATATCATAGAAAAACATTCAAAGTATAAGTACCCTTGTTGATACTATACATAAACAATGGAACATTACACTGAACTTTTCTTTTCTTGCATTACTGCTACTTGGTTAATTTCTTATGGTAGAAACAAGAACATTATTATGTGTGTTTTAGGATTCAAAGACTATTAGAAACTAAGAACATTTTTGTGGCTGTAACAAAATAGCCACCAATAAGTCACACACATAGCAAAGAGTGTATTTATCTCTTGTAGTAAGAAGTCCAAAAGCAGAGAGGTGTGGATGTTAAGGGTCTCCCAGCTCAGGAGAGAGCAGCTGGTGGCTCAGCAGTTCTCTTGGCCTTTCTGTCGTGGTTACAAAGTGACCGATGCAGCTCCAGCCAGCCTGCATTCAAGGCCAGTGGAGGGGAAGGGACGGGTGTTCTGCTCCCCTCACTGCTGTCTTATGGCTCTTTATGGCTGCAAAAGAGTCAGGGAAGTTGAGTATTCTGCTTTTACATCTTCTGTGGTTGAGGGAGGAAAGGAAAAAGGGGAGGGGTCGGGTTCAAATGAGACAAACTACAGTGTCAGCCATAGTCTTCTTTTATGAGAAAAAAAAAACATGGAAAAGATAAACAAGACATCAACAAAAACTACAAGAACAAAAACCCAAAACAACAATAATATAGGCTATCAATTTAAATGTTGTCAAGCACTTGTTTAATTAATCTAGAAGCACCGATCAGATGCAAAGTAGTAAGTCACCAGAGAAAATATTGACATGAAAATCAGGCATAGAGATCTCCACTGTCAGTAATGCTACATGTTTGTACTGGTCTTTCATTCTCTGTTGGGACTAATTCTAGTTGTTTAAGAACTTCTGTGCCTTCAATCAATTGCCTACATAGAAGAAAAAGCAAAAAAAAAAAAAATACGGTCAGTCATCAATTTCCATGTTTACCTTCCATTTCCAAATAGCCGAGGTTAGTACTTCCATACCCAGTTAATGTCAGTCCCAGGTCCTAGGTGCCTCTGGATGTGACCACCTTATCTCACGTGCACCTAGCCCCACCGTGTGGGCTGCAGAAGTCTGCCGCCTGGAGGCTGCCTCTGCAGTAGCTCCTGGCTGGGCTGGCTTCCTCACAACCGCTCTGGCACCTAACCCTTCCCTTGTCACTGCAGTGTGATGGGGCATTTAGAAATACATGATCTTACATCAGATCCCTGCTCTAAGGATGGAATAAAAATTTCCACCATGGCCTGTGAGCGTCAGCATGGCTCCTGCTGCCCCTCGGGGTGTCTTGCACTTGCTTCCAGTTGCTCTCTGCTCCAAACAGGCTGGCTTTCAGGACATCGTGAGCCCTGTGCTCCCTCCTTCCACAGCTGTCCCCATCCCCTACGCTCACCCCTTGGCCTGGTCACCCAGGGGCCTTTCTTCAGCTCTCAGTTCAGTCCGCATTTTCTCAGGGACGTTTTCCAGGTCTCTCTACAAGTAAACTTTCCTCTCACCTTCAGAGCAGTTCCCAGTGAAACTACATTTACTTGTGTGCTGCTTGATTAACTTGTGATTCTCCCGTAAGGACAACGATGGTGCTTTTGCTGATAGGTCAGTGCCTAAGCACAAGGCCTGCCACGCACCAGCTCCTGACAGACAGCCACAGAGGGTGTGACGGAGGCTCACAGCCATGCTAGTCTGGACCTCTGGGGACACCTGCCGGCCATGAGTGGGAACTCTCTGAGGCGTGAAAGTAGACTGTTGATGGTTCTATGTTGGCATGGGGCAGCAAGATGGGCCTTGATGTAGGTCGAACCTATGCCTTCTGCCAGTGCTTGGCTCAGGGGTGTGGCTTGTGCCAACACTTACTATATTCTAGCTTTTTCTTTTCTTTTTTTTTTGGTACTAGGGACTGAACTCACCACTCAGGCTTGCCAGGCAGCAGCTTAATCTGCTGAGCTAAATCCCCAGCCCTCCTCTAGCCTTTTCTTAGTTTGCCTCTGGGGTCTACACTGCCATTTCAACCAGCGCTATAGACAGGATGCCATGGTTTGAATGTCCCAGCCCCGACAGCTAACTCGTGGCAAAATGTAACTGCCACTGTGATGGTAGTAAGAGATGAGCAGGCCTCTTACAAGGTGCTTCATCAGGCAGAGCCCCCATGAACGATTAATGCCATTTTTTAAAGGAGTAAGTTAGTTACCTCTAGAGTGGGCTCCTGATAAAATACTAAGTCCAGCCCCTCCTGTCCTCTTACTGGTTCTTGCTCTCATGCATTTTCTCCCATGCTCTTTCTGGCCATGTGACACTTCCCGCCACATTCTGACACAGCAGGAAGGCCTTCATCAGATACCAGTACTATGCTCTTGGATTCCACAGCCGCTAGAACCATGAACCAAGTAAACCTGTACTGTTTATAAATTAACCAGTCTGTAGTGTTCTCTTATGGCAATAGGAAATAGACTAAGACATGGGGGCTGGGGATTTAGCTCAGCGGCATAAGCACCTGCCATGCAAGCAGGCGGTCGTGAGTTCGATCCTTGGTACCATTAAAAGAAACGAAAAGAAAAGAAAGGTGCCTTAACCTTTCTTGCACCAGGGACAAGTTTTGTGGAAGATAGGTTTCCTGCAGAGCAGAGCAGGAGTGCAGACAGGGATGGTGTTAGATGGATGATGATGATCACAGTGATGGTTTCTGGGTTACATTCTGATAAATAATACACAACCTAGATCCCTCACATGTGCAGTTCACAGTAGGGTTTGTGCTGAGAATTTAATGCCCTCACTAATCTGATGGGAGCCAGGGCTCAGGTGATGATGCAAGCAACAAAGATGAAATTTTGTTCATCGTTCTGCTGTTCAACTTCTGTTTGTGGCTTGGTTCCCACCAGTTCATGGCCTAGGGATTGCGGAACCCCGGACTAAAACGTGTGGGGCATGAAGTCTGTTCTCGAAATAGGTTTCACAAATACTGAATAAGTACTCACTATGTGTACTCATCCACTGTGACAGGGGTTAGGGTATAAGATCAGTGAGACCCAGTTCCTGATTCGTGTTTTTCACACTGTCAGAGGAAAACCAAGAAAATATCTACTTTTGGTAATTAGAAAGGTTTCTGACCTAAGCCTGGAACAGGATTTCAGTCAGCTGGAGAGGAGCAGAAAGGAACAAGATGAACAAAGCCTAGAGACTATACCAGAAGTGGTATTATTATGATCTGGCTACTAACTGCTATCAATCTGAGACACAACCTATCCAGCCTGAACTTCTGATCTTTTTTCTCCAATGATCCTCCTTTCATTGTCTTTCTTAGTGAATATTAACCATCCACTCACTTCCGAAGTCCTAAGGGTTATTACGGACTTGTGCTGGCCAGTATAGCAGCCACTAGCCATATGCAACTATTTACATTTACTTAGAATCACATAAAATATGGTTCCTTCATTGTACAAGTCACATTTCAAGAGTTCAGTGGCCATGGGTGGCCAGGGGCTATCATACTGGACAGTAGAGATTATATGACACTTGCACCAGAATGGAAAATTCTACCGGACAGCACTGACCTGGACTCCTGTCATGCACTCGCTCCCAGCATCTACCCCTGTGAATCTAACTTCTCAACACCACTTGGATTTACCCACTCATCCTGGGGCGCCACTACTGCCAGAGCCCTAGATCAGTACTTCAGTTATGGGCTGTTCTGACCCAGAGCTTCTTAATTAAACTCTGTTTTTTTGCTTTGCTTAGTCATTCTTCATTTATGTTAAACATATTTTTTTCCAAGTGAGATGCTGGTTGTGTTGCCCACAATATAAAGTTCTTTTGTGGCTCTCCATGAGCTTTGGGAGAGGTACTGTGGAGCGGCAGGGTGCCTCTGGCTGCACCTCCCGTCTCCACTCTCCCAAAGCACCAAGCTCTAGGGAGGTCCGAGGCCCAAAGAGGACTCGCAGACATTTCTGTAACTTTTTTTTTTTTCCTGGTACCAGGGATCAAACCCACGACTCACAACTGCGTGCTTTCAAGGCAGGCACTTATACCGCTGAGCTAAATCTCCAGCCCATGTGGGCCTTTCTGCAAGCATTCCTTTATTCTTCCTAAAACAATTTGGCTACATGTGACTTTCACCCTTCTCTGGGTTAAGCTCAACTTCTTAGGAAGTTTAAATGGATCCCCTCCCACCTGAAGTCTGTCTTAAAATGAAATTAATTTCCCCAACATATATTCACTTCTACCTTGTGTATGCTAATGGATATCTTCTAAGAAAGATCTTGCAAGGAGTTTTAAAATCCTTTTTCCGTGAGGCCATGGGCAAAAGACCATGCTCTACCAAAGGGTATTCCCTGAAGCATCCATCTGCAGTGACAGGTTCATCTGCCAGAAAAAGGCAGCTTAGAAAAAGGAAATTCTGTGTCTCTCTAGACCTTGTAGCCATGTCTGAGCTTCCAGAAGCTGAGATGACAGGGTAGCCCATGAGGTGGACCCTGAAGGAGTTATACCTGGTTTAACTGGGTTGGCTATTACCTTATTATCTTTCTGTACTTCCCTTAGCGTTCTGTAATGCTCTATGTATTTCAGCTGAGCTGAAATTGTGGCTTGGAGATTTAAGTACTCAGAGATCATACTTGGGCCAGAGCAATTAAAGGGATGCAGTGCCTCCCTCAGACCAGAATGGTGATGACAACCAAAATTAAATATTTTCCCCAATGAGAATCAGAGTGGAATCATGGAAAATAAAACCAGGCACTCTTTTACTTCCCTGTCATCCTGTAAAGATCTAAGTTGCTTTTACTAAAGAAAGTGCTGGTGTTGTATTACCTTGACCCCAAACAATCCCAGTGCACACTTTACAGACCTCATACAGCTAAGGGCTATCACACACTTGCTCTTTTGTTTTTTAAATGTCTTCCCTAATGTACACACATCTAGGCACATGCCTAGAATCTCAGCTACTCAGGAGACTGAGGCAGGAGGACTTCAAGTTAGTGAAATCCTGTCTCAAAATAAAAAATAAAAAGGGCTGAGGTTGCAGTTTACTAGTAGAGCACATGAAGCATGAGGCCCTGGATCCAGGCCTCCCCAGCCCCCAATTCCCTCATGAGGTGAAGCGTGACTATCCCAACCGAGTGGTTGAAATAATCAAATAGTTATTAGAAAAATCTAACGCTTTATATTACTTCAAGGGAGTTCTACCTCATATTCACTTCAGGAATTAAAAAATATGAAACACTGTGGAGTGGTGAAAAGTGTATCCATCACCAATCTCATGGGCTCATACCTGCAAATATTTGGCTAATCATATTCTCAAAATAATCATCAGCCAACTTTCTGTATTTAAAATTGTTCAGTAAAAGAAAGTTCTGTGTTGACACTGATAGCTTTCATCAGTCCCTTCACAGTGTTCATGGAGAATTACTTCTCACTTCTGCATATAAAGACACATTACAAAGCACTGTGGTATGACTTGGAGTAATTCAGAATCGGCAGTATTTTGGGGGCTACTGACAGATAAAAGGAACAGATGGAGGCCTTAACAAAGAGATCACCATCGTGGCTGTGTCTAAATGGTGCTGTGGTTTTATGGACAGTAAATTTCGTACAGAGTATTTGTAAATATAAGCATATTTATATGCCCATATTTGTACCACATTTTTTACTGTCTCATAGGCTGCTCAGAGACTGTGTGCAATGCTCATCTAAACCTTTTTGAACATGTTGTGAATATTACACACACACACACACACACACACATATATATTTACAAAGTACGTACCCAAATGCCACGTATTTCCTGTCTAAATAGGGAGCTGCTTGCAGTGTAATATAGAATTGTGACCCGTTGCTATGACGGCCTTTGTTGACCATTCCAAGAACTCCTCTCCTATTATGAGGAACTGAAAAGTTTTCATCTAGAAAAGACAATAATCAGTAGATCAATAAAATATTTCTATTACCTCCATTGATTTTTAACAGTGAGGAAGAAACAAGACTTCAGTAATAGACATGATCACACATATCAGGACACTTCAAATTGTAAATATCCTATTTTCTCATATTACTTGCAAACATTCACATGGACTGTTATAAGATATGCTGCAAAATCTTAGAGCTATTTGAGCATTTAGTTCTAGTTTATCTTTATCATAGCTAAAAATAAGTGCTAAAAAGTAATGTAAAAAGTACATACTCAGTTTACCAAGAAATGTCAGAAAGCCTTCTCAGGCTATGTTGGCAGCAGGATCTCATTCAAACTACCAATGCCATTATTAAAGACACTTCTTTTGAATCTTAAATATATACCAATATTTTATTAAATAAAGGCTATTTTAAGAAAACAATAAAACTTGGAGAAATCTTTGCTAGGTCTGCCCCTGGTACCTTCCATTTAACTCTGACGGTCCTGCCAAGGTGTGGCCCTGCACACTGATGATGATGAAATTAATTTATGCTTATTATTACAATCTTCAGACACATTTTACTCTCAAACCTCAGGATTGGCCAAGATTTTGTGGTGTTTTCTTTTAGTGTAAAGTTAACAAATAAAAAGAATTGTACAGTGGTGATCGAGCTACCATTTTCTAGAAATATCATTTCTGGTTTTTCTTCCAAGTTCAATGCACAGGAAGAAGTGATAGGTTAGAAATTCAGGAAGAGTTTTTACTCAGTAACTTCATAACGCTCTAAGAGTAACTGAGAAATATGAATATGAACTGTAAATGAGATTTTATTAATCTGTACTTGCTAACTGCTCCTATCACTTTGAGTTTCCAAACAAAGCAAATTTAACCATGAAGCCATCCTGGAGGTAGTTAATTCTAGTAGTTTTTTTTTTTTTTTTAAACTGGGACTCAAACACAGGACCTCATGCTTGCCAGAGAGAACCAATGCACTTGACTGTGTCTCTGGCTAGCTTGTTAAATGCCATGCTGAATAAGGACCTCTGAAACACTGTAACAATGCAACTTACACATTTTTTATATCACTGAGTCTACATAATTACATCAGTATGCTGCAGTCAATTCAGTGTGATGTAGAAATAAACCCATTTAGGGAATGGAAATCTGCCCAATGCAAAGATTCCCACAATTTTTGAAAAATACTATTTATCATTGCTGTTAGATATTACAATTGGTTTTTTCTTAAATTCTTTAAGCAACAGAAAATGTATAGCATTATACCATTTTTACCAAAAATTCTGTGATTATAGGAGAACTTGAAGAGTTATTGTAGGAGCTAGGGAGTTAGCTCAGCGGCATGAGCGCCTGCCTTGCAAGTGTGTGGTCGTGAGTTTGATCCCTGGTACCAATTAAAAAAAAAAGTTATTGTAATATCTACCATAAACACAATCTGGGAGGAAAGTCTATGTACAGAATAGATTTTGTGTGTGTGTATGTTTGTTACTGGTGACTGAGGTTTCTGCACTGAGCCCATTTTATTTTTTGAGACAGAGTCTCACTAAGTTACTACACTGCCCAGGCTGGACTCGAACTTTCAATCCGTTTGCCTCAGTCTCCCAGTGTACTAGGGTTACAGGGAGGCTGTAAATAGATTTTACACACTTGGCTAAAACAGATTTTCTTAACAAGGGCTACAGTCCACTGGCTGGCTAAAGAGGCCTCTTCTTCAGGACCCAGTATAACTCTTTACAGGGCAATCTGAAAAAGGATATAGCTCAGTGTGGTGACATACACCTGTAGCCCCAGCGCTTAGGAGGCTGAGGTAGGAGGATTCCTGCAAGTTTAAGGCCAGTCTGGGCCACATAGCGAGATTCTGTCTCAAAGACAAAAAGAAACAAACAAAAACCACGGATACAATCAACTCTTCTTTCTTACCATCTCTTTATAGCTCACTCTGAGCTCTCAACTTCAAAAGCCATACATTTAAAAAACATTACTCATTGATATAAAGTTCCCTGGTTTTTATCACATCATTGCTAAATGAAGTTGCTTTCCTTCCCATGACAAAAACGAAGAAACAAACAAAAAACTGGGCCCTGGGGCATTCAGGGCACCGTTGAGGAGCCCAAGCCTCCTCAGATCCTTCCCATGCAGGGGGATGTCCATCCTCTGACAAGGGGTGAGACCACTGTGAGTAGAAAGTCTGACCTGAGCCTGTTGGCCTCGGCGTGTTTCTGCCAGAGAGACAGCAGGAGTGGGAGTCGGCAGACATGACCACAGATGACATCTGCCTACACAAAAAGTGGAACTATTTATTTGGGGCTTTAAAAATTTTGATTCACAATAAAGCAAAACAGCTTTTCCTCAAGTTAAAATAACCAGTTTATTTATTTATTTATTTATTTATTTTTTGTCTTTTTGAGACAGGGTCTCTCTATGCAGTTTAGGCTGGCCTTGAGCTTGCTTTGTAGCTCAGGCTGGTTTCGAATTCGCAATGATCCTCCTGCCTCAGCCTCCCGAGTGCTGGGATTATGGGTTTGAGTCACCATACCCAGCTAATTAACCAGTTTACATACTGTAATTAGGTCATTTATTATTTAGTTCACTTTAATTCATTGAGTTAAGCTTAATTAGAATAAGCTTAGTGATTGTTGTTATCAAGCCCTAAATTTAATTAATCTGAGACAGGGTCTTGCTATGTAGCCCGGACTAGCCTCAAATTTACAGTAATCCTCCTGCCTCAGCCTCTCAAGTGCTAGAACTACAAGTGTGTGCCACCAACCCTGGCTTAAAAATCCTAAATTTTAATTCAATCCCTTTTTTCTCACTCAAAATAGTAATTCCTTAGGCTTTTACAGAACCATACATACACATGCTTCCTTACAGAGTTTTATCATGCAGTTATGCATCCCTCAGCACTAGAGTCTGGCCTTTCCCACATTAAAAGACAAGCCAGGCTGGGGAACAGCTTGCATGTGAAGCCCTGGCTTCGATCCTCCTTACCTGACTGGTGCTCCAGCCCTTAGGGGTGCATCCCTGCCACAGCAGGCACAGAATAGCTATTGTCTCCATTCTTGTAAAATGAATAAACGTTAATGCAGCTGATGCCTATACCAGTGATTGCACCACGGTTGGCAAAACACATGCTACTGTTTATTTATTTGTTAATTGCTATGTTTTTATTCTTTTTTTTTTTTTTTTGCACCAGAATCAAACTCAGAAAGAACCTTGTGGTTTGCCAGGCAGGCACTGTGCCACTGAGCTATATAGCCTTACCCTGAATTGGAATGCTTTAATAGAGATGCTTGTCATCATGGTTTATGTTGGTGGCCCCAGGCCTCATGCGTTTGCATTATGCGTTTGTGATTGGTTCAATGCTTAGAGCAGCTTGGATTGATGGTGTCAGTGCTACACCCACAAGGGGTGGAGCCAGGATACAATGTAATGGCAGGAAGGTGTCTCTCTCTCTCTCTCTTGTCGGTGTCGGCCTTGCTGTTTGCAGACACCATGAATATACAGCCCCGCCATGCCCGCCTGCCTTGGAGCCAACTGAGTATGGACTGAAACCTCCAAAAACTGTAAGAAATAAACCTTTCCTTTCCCAATTTTGGTCATCAGGTATGTTGTCTCAGCAACGAGTAAAAAGTAACTAAGACACTTGTCGTGTGTAATTTGGGATAATTCATGTAGGAAAGGCAGATCAGTGCTTGATTCTTGCTCTGCATGTGTCAGGTATAAGGTAATGACTTGGTTTCCCTATCATTTCCTCAAAGATAGCCAATTAGGCTTTATGTTTTATTTTTTGGTACTGGGAATCAAACTCAAGACCTCATGTTTCCCACAGAAAGTGCTGTGCCACAGAGCTATACCCCTGGCCCTGGCTTCATTTTATAATATCATTATGAATTTACAGATTTAAAATGTTGGTTGAGCTCTGATCAAATGAAATTCTAATCCCCCCCCCCCAGTCTCTTCAAGGTAAGGTCTTGCTATGCAGTTCAGGCTGGACTTGAGCTTACTGCATAGCCCAGGCTGGTCTCAAACTTGCACCAATCCTCCTGCCTCAGCTTCTTGAGTACTGGGATTACAGGTGTGCGTCACCACACCTCACTACTTTGTTGGGTTTTGTTATGTGTGGTGGTGCTGGGGATTGAATTTAGGGCATTGTATATACAAGGCAAGAGCTCTACCAATAAGCCACATCCCCAGCCCCTTCTTTTTGAATGAACCCATGTTCTAGATTGGACCAGGGTGCCTTTCCCCATTTTTAACTTCCACTTTTACTAAACATTTACCCCCAACACCATCTTATTGGAATGCAAAATACCCACTTCTCTTAAAACTCGAATAATCAACTAATACAGGACTGACAAAATTTAAAGATCCATACCTTCAAATGTTGGTCCATAAATAGACTCCCCATCATTTCCTTTTCCAGCTACTATATCTGAGAAATAACAAACAAAATTCGGGTCCAGCAAAGGTGAGAGTAGCAGAATCATGGGGGGAAAGATGCTTTAAATTATGATGCTATGTGTAACAATGACTAAAGTCAGTCACTTATTTGCTTAATATCTACACCATGGAAATATTACTATTTCAGTTGTATTGTATAAAAGTTTTACTTTCATAATTCCGTTTTGTCCTCATAATAACTCTTTTCTTTTGGTACTCATGACCTCATGCTTGCCAAGAAGGCACTTGTGTCACTGAGCTAAACCCCTGGCCTCCTCATAGTAACTCTTATAGGTAGCTTCAATTATATTGCAAACTTCTGAAATACTGAAATATTAAACTATTTTCTAGCTACTATTTTAGGTCACAATTTATTGGGGGAGGGTTGCTTGTTTCATTCTGTGTGTGTTTGTTGTTCTGAGACAGGGTCTCAGCAGTGTAGCCCAGACTGGCCATGATCTCATACTGATCCTCCTGCCTCCGCCTCCCAAGTGCAAGGACTACAAGTATACACCACCACACCTGGCTTTTCTTTTCTGATCCAGTGTGCTAAGCTATGTTTTTAAATTGGCGAGCGGAGGTCAATTAAATCACTGACGTTATCACTGAAAGGTACTGACATACTTCTGTCATTGTGTTCTTTTTCCGTTTTTTGTTTAACTACTCACCTTGCTTGATGCATCATTTGATCTGATTTTTTGGTTTTGTTGTCTCTATCTAAAATACTCTGGGGTATTTTCTTTGGAGTGCTGGTTTGGAGTTCATGTAACTCTTAAAAGTATTCATTTTTGTGTAAAGTCCTTATTTGTCAATCAACTTTGAGAAATAGTCTGGGTTGGAAGTTGTTTTCTTTTAGGATTTGAAATACTTTACTCCAAGCTCTCCATGCCTTTAAACTTGGTGTTGAGACTATTTTACTTAAATGATTATGTTTTGACCTGTGCTATGTCCTCTTTTATCTCAGTCTTTATTATTTACTTTTTTATTTTTATCTTTTTTGTTTGTTTTGTTTTTTGTCTTTTTTCTTTTTATCGGTACTGGGGATCGAACTCATGACTGCCTGCCTGCAAGGCAGGCACTTATGCTGCTGAGCTAAACCTCCAGCCCCTATTTTTATCTTTTTAATTAAGGAAAAAATTAAAAAAGCAGGATATATTATAGTAACCCACTTCTATTTCCTATTAACTTGATTTGAAACCCTGTATTGCTCTCACCATCTTGTTTTGACTGATTTTCCTCTATTGTTTTGCTTGATAGTACCAAGTTTGAAAGTATAGGCAACAACTGTGAAGACAATAAGATTCATTATGATGCCCATTCTGGTTTGACTATTATCTTCCTTTGAAGTCCTGCAATGTCTCCAATGTTTTGGTCTTGCCGGTTTTGTTCTTTACTGTTTTGTTCAATTTTATTATAACTGATGATATAGGCAATTCTTTTTAAGATAGCAAGAGGCATTATGGGAACCAATGTTGATCACCTTGTATTTTGTTTTTACAGTATGTTATTATGTCCATCCTTTTGATTTGACTGACTCTGTTTCGTTATGTCACATTTGGTGTTATTCTTTTCAAAAAAAGTAATAAGAACTGTGGGAGTAAAGAAACCCAAAATGTGTAATTGTCATTGAACAAAAGAGAGGAAAAGAAAGTGCTCTAAAGGATATAACTGCATGTATATTTAAGTGTATTAGATAACCATATTACTGAGTTTTGTTGGATCATTGAACAGAACTGTTTGCAGTCTCACTGTATGAATGTCCACTTTATATGCTTTAATTTTGTAACTTGAACAACTATTTCTAAGATGACAATATGTAATCTATTAACTAGTGATGTCCTGGTACTTTTTCTGAAATTCTGTATAACTTGCACCCTTTGTTTTTTTTTTTCCTCCTTAAATAAAATTTAAAAAAAAAAAACTTGGTGTTGAGAAATCTGCTGTAATCCTTATAGATTTTTGCTTTCTTCTGACAGTTTTTTTTTTTTTTTTTAGGTTTTTGTCTTTTTAAGACAGGGCTTTACTCTGCAGCCCAGGCTGGCTTTAAACAGAGATCCTGTCTGTCTCCCTAATGCTGGGATTACAGGCATGCACCACCATGCCCTCTAACAACTTTTAAGATTTTGTGTTTTTATTGAACACGCAGAATTTTAACTATGATGCATTGTGAGAAGCTTCCTTTTCTTCAGTGATTTGGCATCCTGCAAGCTGCACTTACCTGTAGGTTGAGTTCTTCCCCCATTCGTGGCCATTTCTGTAAACTTCAGCTATTTCTGTAAATGGGTTTTTTATTCCACGTGTGCAATCTTCTAGTTGACGGGTTTTCCCTGGTGTGGTCTTCCCAGTCAACATGGCGCTGCACAGCGCCTCCCTTCAGCACTGACTTCCGCATTCTCTGGCAAACCCCAATCGAAGTGCTTCTTTCACACGCACGCCAAGGCTCCCCCAATCAGCTGTCAACACGTCATCCTGCCCGCCCCCTCAGCTCCACCCCGTTTTCTCTCCCTTGGAGGGTAGGTGCTCGCATCTCTCTGCCAGTCCTCCCGTGCCCACAATAAAGGCTCTCTTCTTTCTTTCTCGGTTTGCCCTCCTTTTCTTTCTCGCCTTTGAGGACCAAACACAAATCTCTAACTACACTTAGTCTTAGAATCCTCTTTTTAGACTTCTTACGTTTCGTAGGTGCTGGGAGAATTTTTCTCGCTCTATCATTTTTGATTTTTTTTTTCAATGGTACCAGGGATCGAACTCACGACCGCCTGCTTGCAAGGCAGGTTCTTACACTGCTGAGCTAAATCCCCAGCCCTCTCCTATCATTTTTAAGGCGTCTCTGAGTGATTCATCACGTATTTCTTTTGTCCTCAACTTCAGACGCCTATCCTCACACTGGTGGTTTCTGCCTTTTATGAATTACATGGAATTCTTTATCTTTGGGATTTCTGTGTGGAACATTTTAGTGGTGTTGTTTACCAGTTATTGGTTTGAACCCTGTCACCCTGCTGTGGCTCCCTAGAAGACTTCAGAGTCCCTCTTCTGTAACTTTATACTTTCTTTTCTTTTCCTTTTTTTTTTTCTTTTTCTGTTTTTTGAGACAGGGTCTCACTATGTAATTGAGGCTGGCTCTGAACTCACTACGTAGCCTAGGCTGGCCTCAAACTCACCATGAGCCTTCTGCTTTGGTCTGCAAAGTGCTGGCATTACAGGTGTGTGTCACCACACCCAGCTGAACTTTTAAGATTAAAAGAATGTATGCTTCCTGTTCAACTATCTCTTCATTTATTTATTCATCCATGCTTTCAACAAATGTTCATCAAGCACCTGCTATATGCCAGGCACTGTCAAGAACATAGGATGCAACACTGAAAAAAAGAAAAACCTCTACCCTCACGAAATTCATATTCTAGTGAAGAGAAAAACAATAAACAAGTTATCATATACCATTGTATCCATGTGATAGTATGTCTTACACATATACAAGAGCAATTCCAAAGGTGAAAAGCAGTATAGCTAGAAATAAAGCAAGGTAAAGGGTTAAGTGAGTATCAAGGCCTACTGAGGAGAGGAACATGGGGCAAAAAGGGGCAGTTTCAAACAGGAAGCCAGGCAGGGCCTGGCAGAGATGCGCTTTTTTTTTTTCTTTCTTTTTTGGTCTGTTTGAGATAAGGTTTACTCTGCAGTTCAGGCTAGCCTTGAACTCACGTTGTAGGCCAGGCTGGATTTGAACTCACAGTGATCCTCCTGCCTCAGCCTCCCAAGTGCTGGGATTACAGGCATGAGCCACCACACCTGGCCCTGACATGCGCTTTGGACAAAAATTAGACCGGTTGGTGGATACCTAGCACGTGACAAAAGCCTCCTGGCCCATATATACTTGACGTGTGTAGTGAAGAGCTGGGAGGCCCACATGTGGGCAAGTGAACAAGCGGGAGGAGGCAGAAGCGACAGGGGGCGGCATGGACAGTGTGGGGCTGGGTGGTCCTAAGGAGAAGCAACGTGTCTGGGAGCATCCCACGCTGTGTACAGAACAACACTCGGCTCCCGTGCTCCAGAGCAGACGGAAATCTCAAGGCAAAGGACAGCGTCCAGAGGATGGCGCTGAAGGCAAGCACGTCACCGAATCCTTACACATCTGTGTACGGTTACAGCCGTGCTTCCTTCAGGGTGAAGAAACTGACTCAGCGATGCCGTGTGGCACAGCCAACCTGTATGTGTCAGAGTTTGGGTTTGACTCTAACATAATCTCACTTTTTCCATGCTGCCCTTAACACTGTTCCCTCGCCGTCTGAAATATGATTCAAAAATCTGTGCACTTTACTATTATTTTACCACAAAGAAATAGACAAATAAGATGACTGCCTTTTTCCAAGCACTGCTCTGGGAGAATTTAATGAGAACCAAAACAGAAAAGAATGTAGCAGCTGAGATCTTGATCATGCGTCATTAGGACTCAGAATTAGAAGGCTCTGGGTCAGGTGTGGTGGTGCCTGCCTTGTGATCCCAGCACTTGGGAGGCTGAGCAGGAGGACTGCCATGAGCTGGAAGGTCAGCCTGGGCCACATAATGAGACACCATCTCAGAAAAACAAAAATAAAAAAGCTCAGATATTGGCCTCCTTGAGGATTGTTATAAACTAACAAAAAAATTCCTCAGTGGGTGATAAAATTGGTTTAGCAATGTTATAAAAAACTTCAAAAAATTCCAAAATATTGTATGTTTATCAATACAGGAAGATAAATATCATATATTAAGTGGAAAAACAATGAGGTTGGATAACAGAATTTGTGAACTGATCTCATTTTGGAATGACTCAGGGTCAAACAGTGGTTCCCCATACAAGATGCCTGGAAGGCATCTGCATTTTCTACCTCATCAGCCTCAGAATATTCCAGATCATGCTAAAAAATTAAAAATCAATTTATGTTTCTGTATATGACATCAAGTTCAAGCAAATCTACCACACTAAACCAATTACTTTTAAATTGCTACCTGATTGTTCCCTATGGAATATCTCCTGGCAGCTCTCCAAAATTTAATTTTGTTATGTTAATCAGACACTTTGTCTGCATAGCCAAAGGACTGACCTGAAAAGAAAACAAAACAAAGACCAAAATCCTTCAGATAATACTTTTCTCTAGTAATAATACAGCATCTCTGGTGAGAGATGTTGTCTTGCCTTCCCTTGGGGCTGGAGAGATGTTGTCTATTCTATTTTCAAATTTCCATCCATGGTATGTTTCTCAAAAGTGCTGCATTTCCAGATAATTTTATGTATTTAGTTGAACATTCAAAATTACTTTTTGATTTAAAACATGTCACTTTACACTCATGTCAACTTTTAATTTGGAATGCTCTTGGTAACTTAAATGTATTTGTTTAGCTAATTAGTTGTAGTACTGGGAAATGGATCTAGGGCCTTTGCATTGAGCCACATCCCAGCTCATTTTTTTTTTTAATTGTGAGATGGGGTTTAACTAAGTTTCTAACTTGCCCAGGCTGGATTCAAATTTTTGATACTCCTGCCTCCGACTCCTAATGTGCTGGGATTATAGGCTTGTGCCACTATGTCTGGCTAAATATATTTACTTTAATAAGGAGGGATTTTAAAAAATGAATATAGGAGCCGGGCATGGTGGCTCACGCCTGTAATCCCAGCACTTGGGAGGCTGAGGGAGGAGGATCATCAGGTGTTGCTGAGACCAGCCTACGCTACAAAATGAGCTCAAGGCCAACCTGGACTGCATAGTGAGACCCTGTCTCAAAAAGACAAAAAAGAAAAAAAAAAAAAAAAGAAAGGAATATAAATAAACCAGACATCCTGACACACACTTGCATTCAGAAAGCTGAGCAGGAGGGTTGCAAGGTTGAGGCCAGCCTGGACAATGTAGCAGAGTCACAAGACCTTATTTCAAAATAAAAAAATAAAAGCGGGCTGGGGATTTAGCTCAGTGCAAGGGGTCTGTAGTAAAAGAAAGTATGAATACCTTAATTGTTATCTGGCCATATAAAATACTCTATATATTAAGTATTAGGAATATATAATTCAATGTTAATTTTATAAAAGTAGACAAATGAAAATTTTGACATTGATTTCATGTTGCAATTAAGTTTATTTAAAATTTTAAACTCACCTCCTCCTTGTATCCAGCCATTCTGTACTACTCGATGAAGAATCGACCCTTTGTAATGCAGCGTTGTGCCTCTTTGGGAAATTCCCGCTTTTCCTGTACACAAGGTCTGAAAATTTTTACATGTTTTGGGACATTTATCACAGTATAGCTACAAAATAAAGACGAAAGATTTCCAAGATTAAATCTTAATATTTCAACAGTTATAGAGGACTCCTAACTGATTAAAAGAAAAATGGTATCAAAATCTTACCTCAAAAATCAATCTTCCAATTGGAAACAAATCAATACTAATGTCCAAGAACACAAAATCATGCTAATAAAATTAGGGAGAAAAAGATAAGACAGGTCAATATCTCACAGGAAACTGTTATTTATGTATTTCAAATCCATTTTATTTCAAAGAGAAAAAAAATAATAAAAATTCATGCCAATCAGGGACAACTTTTAGAAGTGACCAAAAACAGGGCACATATTCTGTTTTTGGTTGATTAGATTTGAACAGAATTACCAATGAATAATGTAATAGCAAAATTAAATGAATGATTTAAGTTTATTTTACCAAGTCTCTACAACCTACATTACATTACGACTTTGTTTCCATTGTGCAGTCTTACAATCCTTCAGCAGTAAAGCTCTGAAGGGTGCTAATTTCCCACGCCTGGCCTGGATGCCCACCACCCACAAGCACAGGGTGGGCAGGGGCGTGGCTGCTTCCTCTTGGGGAAACGGACTGAGAATTCTTTACATCTCCTGCCTTTACCGAGTAGTTCTGGGAAAGGACCCATTGTGATGCCGTGGCTTTGGTTATTACGTGTCCGGGAATTTTGGAGACGGCACTGACCAGTTAGCCACGGACAGGCGTCCTCTGCTCTCAAAGGCCACCACGGCTACCGGCAGTGCAGGGCCAGCAGCAGGGACCAGGAGGACGCTGGGCTCCGGGCACCCTTCAAAACCCCCTCACCTGCACCCTGTGCCCAGCTCGTACTTTCACTGCTGCCCTTTTTAACCCTGCCTCGGTCTACAAAGTGGCACCGAGTGTGAAAACACTGGCTTTCATCACACTGGCACTGAACGCACTTCTAATCCTGGACACCATTCCCAAGTGTCAAAAGCCACTTGATTTAATGAGGTCCATCACTGGCCCTGCCCTCCTCCTTCAGAGTCTGGGAAACATAATCTCATTTTTAATAATTATATTGTTTTATATTACTCTAACCTTCCTTTAAGTCAAAGGATTAAAATACTATCTGACACCTGGTAAGGACGTATTATAATCGATCTGTTTGAGGATCTCAGCTTCTATACTACAAATTCTTAACAAAGAATATTAAAACAGAACAATAATAGGAAGCAGAATATAGTAAACCTCACAGGCATAAGAAGAAAAGGGGGTGCTCCCGGAAAGTGTGATTGACTGAGGAAACAAGTAATGAACTTTACCTGTGCCTCAACAGATTATCCCTGAGTCAGCCGGGGCAGACAGTCCTGGAAGTGCTGACCAAGAGCGATCAAGCGAAAGCACCACAGGCTGACCTCGCTGTCACTAACAGCAGACCCACAGCCATACTAAGCGAGCACATGGCTCTGTCCTGCAAGCCAACGAGCCCCTGGGTTGGACCTGGAAAGGTCCACGCTCTCTCTGGAATCTAAGTCCTGCGTCCTCACTGCCCCCACCAGCTCATCCGGCTTCCCCTTCCCTCGCCGCACCACCACAGCAGCTTAGCCGGGGCCTGCTGTGGCACTGCTCTAAATTCTTTTCCCAAAAACAATAAAGCGGATTATGTCATAAGCTTTCCCAAAGACTCTTGATTTGCTTCTGGATAAAATCTCTTTGGCTCAGAGTGAGCAATAAATCAGAATCTGGTCTCAGCCTTCCTCAGCTCCCTCCTCCTTTTTTTTCTTTTTTTTTTGGGGGGGGTCTTTTTTGAGTGAGCGTCTCTATGCAGTTCAGGCAGGTCTTGAGCTTAACTTTGTAGCCCAGGCTGGTCTCAAACTTGGAATGATCCCTGTGTTAAGATTACACACGTGGACACCACACCTGGTTTGCCTCCTCCCTTCTTACCATTTGAATACACCCCCTTTTGTAATCTCTCACAGGACCACACCCCCCCCCCCATTCTCCAGAACCTAGAGGGGCCAGATTCTCCCTCTCTTTCTCCTGGGACAGCAGGTTGTAGGGATGTCACGCAGGCTCGCCAGAGCGGTGCCCTTACCCAGGCCCTCGGAGATCCAGGCAGGGAGGCAGACCCATGAGGAGAACTGACAAGCCAATGTGGACCCTGGGCTAGCAGGACGTCGTGCCACACATTCCTGTGGCCTCAGCCTGGACCTGTTTCCCCACTATCCGGCCTCCCTTGGTGCCCGCCTGTTCCAGAGCTGGCTCTCCAGGCTTCCTGTCAATCACAAACATCCCGTGTCACTTCAGTACCCACCTTCTCTCCTTCAGAACTGGTGGCGCTGATTCCCCATTTTCACAGACTGTTTCCTACGAATTCCAGCCTCCTTGCTGACCCCTGGCACTCACATATACTATGCACTTTGAGACTCCTGTCCCTTTGTCAATCGGCTGTGGACATTCAATTCTCCCTCACTCTCCTGAGTTTCTTGCATTTTCAAAATGCACTGTTCATTCAAAGGAGCATTCACAGAGCACCTACTAAATTTTATTTCTGTCCTTTGCCTTTGCAAAGATCCCAGTGCTGGGTCATTCTATAGACACAGACACAGGTTACCATGAGCACACAACAACTTCTAGCAGGTGACAGTTGTAGCTACAAGGTATCTCAGCAACATACAAAATATTTTTTCTTTTTAAAAAGTAAAACAGAAAAAAAGGATAGATATGATACAGAATTTCAAAAAATAAGAAATTAACACTAGTTAATATGTTGCATGTTATCTTAAACTAGTTGTTCAGGTTACAAGATCTAGGCAGAAAAAATGATCAAACAGTCAAACATGACAGCACAGACTGTTCTTTTTGATGAACTAACAGAGATCAGTAGTATGTTTATCTGTCTTGCATACATACACATACATACATTTGTATATGTTTACCTAGATACATACCATCTTTTCCCTTTTTCTTTTTCTTCTCCTTTCCCCTGGCCCAGTTGCTCTGTCCTTTCATTCACAGAACACTTTTGTTTCTATTGCCATACTAACCTGGTGACTGGCTCAGAATCTGGCCTCAGCTTTTCTTTTTTTTTTTGTCTTTTTCCTTTTTATCGGTACTGGGGATCGAACTCGTGACTGCCTGCTTGCAAGGCAGGCGCTTATGCCGCTGAGCTAAATCCCCAGCCCCCTCAGCTTTTCTTTACAGCCCTTTCTAGTTTTCTCCCCGCCTCTTACCACCTGAATACCCTAGGCCTCACATTTCTTACTGTCTTCTGCCACTGACAATTCCCCTGGCATGTCCTGGCCACTCTCACCATCTACCACACAAGCTTTCAAATGTCCCCTTTCCTCTCAGCCATGCTTTCCTCTTATATATTAGCAATCTGGTTTTCAACAAATTTATTAAAATAAAAAAAATCCACTATTGATTTAAAATTTTCCTACTAGCCTGGGCTCAGCTTGCTATGGGAGGATGTCTTTCTATAGTTTGTAGACTTTAGTTTAGATTTTTAGTTGTTTTGTGATGGGATCTCAGGTTTGCCTGAGTAGCTGAGGCTACACCAAGGCATCTTTATTGTTTAATATTTTATTTCATTTTATTCTATTTTATTTATTTCTTTGTTCTTCAGAGCCAGGATCGTATGTAGTGCAGGCTGGCCTCAAACTCTTGGTAAACTTCCTGCCTCTGCCTCCAAATGCTGGGCTTATGGGCATGTGCCAACATGCCTGGTTCAGTCTTTATATTTTAAAATAAATAATTCATACACACAAATCTCTGACAGAGAGTAGAAATATTTGAACAATGATATTCTCCCTATAAAAATACATACCTGCTTTACATACTACTGTGCTATTCTTTGAGGGCTTACAACCTAATCTCCTACCTTTTCTATCTCTTTTGTTAGGGCATAGAAAATTAATAAGGAATCAGTAGAAATGATCAAAGTTTCCACTGTTACTCTTTAAAATCAGTGTAACTTACCTTGGTGTCTCGTAGGAATTTAGCGGAATAATCCAAAGTCAGGGCTTGGTACAGTGCCGGAGGCTTCACATCCACAACATCCCACACCGTCTGGGCCCATCTTTGCAGATCAAACGCATCCCCCAGGAACTGGTCGTTGAGAAAACACATCACATACGAAGAATATTCCCAGATTTCACCCTTGAGCTCCTATAAAGGAAAGGACCAAAACAAAACAAAACAAAAAACCAAAAAACAATGAAAAAAAAGCAACAATTTGCTAAACTCCTATATAACAGGTTGGAATCAACACTAATTTATCAACTTAATTTGTCAACTCTAGCCTTGAATATTTTTAAAATGTGTGTGTGTGTTACCATCTTTTAGAATTCTGCTGTGAAAGAGAACTTATGATTATTTTAGAGAATTTAATGCCACTGAAATCCCAGAATGATCTAAAAAGCAATCTTAAAAAAGTTACAATCATAGTAGAGATAATACTGTTAATAAAAATCACTTTTTGCATAGCATAATTGCATTAACTTGCAAAGAAAAAACAGTTCCTGTCTTTATTTAGGAAGTGAATTTTATTGCATGTATACTTTGAAGGGTCAGGGATTTTGGATAAGAAATGGTTTTCTTTTCTTTTTTTTAATTGGTACCGGGGATCAAACTCACGACCATGAGCTTGCAAAGCAGGCGCTTATGCCACTGAGCTAAATCCCCAGCCCCCAAGAAATGGTTTTCAATGCAAGGATTATGTGTTTGGGGGTCACATTGAGGACATCTTCCCAAGGGCCAGCAGGGATTTCTGGAACAGTCAGGGACACTGAGGAAGAAAACTCATCTTCAACACTTTAAGTCCCTCCAAAAACAAGGTTAGTATTTTCATTCATGCCAGGCTGATAGTCAGCCTCCTAAATTCTCCAGTGTGGTCACGGACTGAGGTCCCCACTGAGGAGATTCAGTTTATTTCTTTATTTTTTTAAACATAGCAGCAGGGCTAGAGTGAGCCCCTCCCCCCCTTTTCTCAAACCTATTTGATTTCAAAGCGAAAGAAATCCCAAAATTTCAAAACACATCAATCAGCAACAACAATGATACATACATTGTGCACTGTGATCCCCAGATCATTTACCTAGAGCACAAGACCTCTGCATTCAGTTGTCTGAATAATACCAGCACGGATCTTGGAGACTCAGTTTATTGCTACTCACTGCGAGCCATGGCAAACCATGGAAAAGCAGTGCAGCCGTTCTCCGGTCTCAGCAGGCAGTCAGGACTTTCTTATTATGGGATGGAGCTAAGAATTTGCATTTCTAGCCAGGTGAGGTGGTACATGCCTGTTATCCCCCAGCACTCAGGAGGCTGAGGCATGAGGATCTCAGTGAGTTGGAGGTCAGCCTGGACTACATAGAGAATTCAGGGCCAATGTGATATACAAAGCAAAACCCGGTCTCAAAAAACCAACCAACCAACCATAAACCATTGATAAATCCTAACATGCTAACATTCCATAATGGTCAAATTTATCAATGTTATATTTCACAGATCCAAAGCCCAAAAAGGAAAATAATCTAATTGTGGACTCTTTAGTCAGCCTGATGGGAGAAATGGGAAGAGGCTGAAGACATAATGCCTTGTCTTTCTGTTCTGTACACAAGGGCACCTTCCCTCCTGCCGCAAGCAAACAGCCTGGATCGGAAGGTTTCTGGGGCCTTCCATCACTAAGACCTATGAGGTTTTCCCTCTTGGAAGTAGAAAGTTCTTCCTAAATATCCAAAAGCCCTTCCCTCAGAGTGGATTACATTCTGAAGAAGCCAAGGCCAGCTGGACCCAATTAATGAACATCTCACTGAGATGTAAGACAAAAGCTTACACCCAAGAAAGACCAAAACAATGACCTGAAAAATAAGTGAAGGTTAAGGTGACACATATTCAGAGGATGTGTGAGAGATCAAAGATAAAGATGGACAATGCGTGGTAAGCAGCAGCAGTAATTCAGTAGAAGGATTCATGCAGGAGCCCTGAAAGGCAGGAGCAAGTGCTCCAGATATTACCAGGTGTCCCAGCTCACAGGGAGGGCCAGAATCTAAAGAGGGCAGCGGGGATACACAGGAGCCGTTCCAACCCACAGGCCACGCTAACAAGGGTTTTCTGCAGGCAGAGAGCATGGGACCGGTAGGGAGTTACCATAAGCTTGATGGCAACAGTTTTAAATGTATTGTTTGATGTTAAGTGTCCTAGTTTGGCTAGGACTGTTGTAGATTTAGCCATTAGAATAGTGGCTGGCATAAAACGAGCACCATATGTAAGTGTTTTCTACAGTTCTTTTAAATTCCAATGGAAATCTTTTTTTTTTTTTTTTTTTTTTTTTGGCTTTTTTCATTTTTTTTACCGGTACCAGGGATCGAACTCACGACTGCCTGCTTTCGAGGCAGGTGCTTATGCCGCTGAGCTAAATCCCCAGCCCCTCCAATGGAAATCTTTTATGGCTAATTTTTAAATAGGAGACTTAGCAAATGGTATTTTTCCCTCAGTCTCGCACCTCTCATGTGACTGAGTGAAGCGGTTTCATAAAGCAACACCATATATATGTACGTGTGTTATTTAATCACAGGATCATCACACATCCTTGTGCAATCAACACAGAGGAACAGAAACCATTCTGATCAAGGAAATGAAATTTTCATCATTCACTGGAAAGATGAGACTGGGTGGAAGAATCAGGACTGAGACTAGGTCAGGACAAGCAGATGTACCACTTCGCACATGCCCTGGCCTGAGTTCCTGCAGGGCTGTAACTTCCTCTTCGTCACATGCTCTGGGCAGTGGTACCATCTGACCAGGTGATGGCTGGCAACAAACCTATCTACCATCCCTGGATAATTCTGTGGCACAGACCTCTGGGGGGTTCCTGAAGGCGTCGTTAGAGGGCAGAATAGGGAGCAGGAAGCATCAACTGGGACAAGCTGACCTGAAGGAGCAGGCGACTGTCATTAGAGCTCCTGGAGGAGCAGCCTACACAAAGTCCTCGTGATCTCTGAACTCTGTGCCTGCCACCTACACTTCCCAGAGGAAAGGCCAGGTCACAGTTACAAGAGTGCAAGGGTGTCACAGGATGCATAAGTGTGAGGCAGGGATAGAGAGAGAACCTCTGCAGGGGCAGAGTGTGAAACTTACCTGTACCACATGTTTTCCAAAAGAAAACTGTGTAAGTAACTTGCGATTGAAAAAAAAAAAAAACAAAAAACACCAGCCTGGTCAAATAACTGAAATAATTTAGGAAAAGTATGTAACTGAAGACAAATGAAATCTAGTTCCATTAAAATCATTCTTTCCATCTTCCAAAAAACAATGCATAGATAAAGAATTCAGGCAGAATTTTGCTTGGCATCAGTAACCCACTTTACCCGTTTTTTCTCCTGTAGATATTGATCCCACGCAAATTCTTGAAGAGGAACTATCACAGAATCTTCGAATTTTGATGGATAAGTATTCTTCAGACTCTAGGTTTCAAAACAGAATAGTTTAGAGTAAGTTCTTTTTTAACGTCAAAATCATTTCCCCAATTTTTATGGGGTTTCCAGAGAGCTTTATGCAACACATAGGGCATGTAGTCTAAGATGCCACCTTCCTGTTCCCAGAGACTCCTGTGGCCCGCACCAGGCTCTGGATTATTTGTCTCCAAGCTCTGGAGAGCAAGGACTGCCTAAGCTTTCCTTTAGCCCCACACACCACTACATCTGGTACATGGCGGACACTTATACATAGCGACTGAAACAAGTTACTGTCAATAGTCTTGTGATGTGCTATGTTCTTTTAGGACTTGCTTTTCCCTAAATTAAATTCTTGCTAAACTTCAGCGTATTTAGATACCTCACTTGTAATGAGAATAAGTAAATGCTATTGCTTTAATTCACTAATTTAAGGAGAATGACCAAAAGCATATTGTATACTTCTTAGGAAGAAGAGAAGTAAATAGTAAACAAATAAGTTTAGAGTTAAGGTTTGGCATTGAGTTTTTTGATTGAATGTAATGTAACATTGTTTCACCTGAATCCCAGAAAATTCTTCCTTGTTAGCAATTCCTGTCCAAAAGATAAATAAGCAGAGTTTGTTTTAGGATATTATTTTCATTTTGCTTTTCCTCCACAAAGGAAGAGGAGGCGGCTGAAACAGTAACAGTTGGGCTTGTTTTCTGAATGGATAAACGAAATGAATGGCCCAAAATGGAAAGGCCACCCGCCAGACCTGGTATTTGCTCTGCCAAGGGGAGGGTAAGAGGTGGGATGAGGCTCTGTCACCATCTGACCCAACACAGGACAAAGGAGCCAGGATGTGGAGGTGCCCTGCTTTAGGGTCAGGGGTGCAGGTGAACAGGGCAAGAGAAATCGGCCCATTTTCTTAAGACTATTGCACCCCAGAACATCGCATGCTGTTTCTCCTGTTCTCGTGTGCTCAGTTCTGCATGGTGGCTGCTATTTGTGAGGAACTGTCCAGAAAAATTAATAAGCCTAGCAGTTTTCAAATGAAGCACTACAGATTTTCTCAAAACTTAGTATTTGTTCCAGAACGAACTAAGGTATATCCAAATTAAAATACATGTAATAGGGCTGGAGATATAGCTCAGTGGCACAGTGCCTGCCTGGAAAGTGCGAGGTTGTGAGCTTGATTCACAATACCAAATAAATAATAAATAGAATACATGTAATATGTACTTATGCTTACTGTTTAAAAATCTAAATCTCTGTCAGTGAATTGGGCATCAGAAGTTTCTCACAAATGATCATGTTGGGAATACAGTCAAATAGTCTCTATTAAGAGAACAAACTGAATTTGCATGTGTGGTCATATTAGAACAGAGCAATAGTAAGGAAAACTATATTATTAATATATTAAAGATAAAGTTTTCTTACCCTGCTGTCTTCTGCAGCAGAAGTTGGGAAACTGTGGTCAGTGCATTTGGCTGTTCTTGTAAGGTCTGAAAGCCAAGATTAATTTCTAGATTTTCTGTTTTGTTTTTGTGGTGCTGGGGATCAAGTTCAGGGTGTTGTACATGCCAGACAAGTGATCTTTCACTGAGCTACAGCCTCAGACCTTTTAGATTTTTCTTAAATCGTTGAAAAAAAAAATCAAAAGGTGAATATTTCATGTAATGTGAAGAGTATATACAAATCAAAAGTTAGTGTCCAGAAAATAGTTTTATTGGGACACCACCATTCATGGACATGGTTGTGGCTGACTGTGCAACACAAGGACAAAGCTGAGTGGCAGGGACTGAGATCCTACAGCCCAGATTACCAGCCCTTCACAGAAAATAACCCATTACCAATAATGACCCTGCAGTGTGGGGCAGGCACAAAAAAATGTGCCTTCAGAAAGGGAGCCAAGAAAAACAAGGACAAATTTATTAAGTACAACTTTGGTAATAAATCATTTCTGATCTTATCTGTCCAATCAACACAGTCTGTGATTTCTACTTGTTTTGATGATCCCTCTTTTTTTTTTTTTTTTGGTATTGGGGATTGAACTCACTGCCTCATGCTCGCCGGGCAAGTACTTGTGCTGCTGAGCTAAATCCTCAGCCCTCCACAAATCATTTGCATGGACCTCTGAACACTTGTTCAATCTTGATACAAATTTTATCTGTTTTTTAAATTATTATTTTTTAAAAAATTATTTTTGTTTGATACAATTAAAAACTTTTCTTTCATTGTGTGGACTCTGGAACAGGGTTTTCCGAAGATGAAATCTATTTGGGAACATTTTGTTGCGCAGGATCCAGCTGAACACTCTGGGAGATTGAAACACAAATCAAGCATGACTGCAGAGAAGCCTGACCTCCCAAGCATTCCTGCAGAACACCCCAAAGATCAGCTGAATCATACCTTTCAACGCTTCTTACATTGTTACAGTTCTCCAGCATGCAGGCTGAAGGTGTGCTGCATTGCAGACCCTGCCAAATTCTTGTTTCAAGTTTTTTTATATCGTTCAGCATATTTACAAAAAAAATGTGGATCTCCCAAGCACTCGTGGGCTATTGAGAAATCCGTGAAACAGCTGATTTTGTTCAACTGCAGTGACTACTAAAGAAATTTTAAAGGAAAGAACCTTCTCGAATACATAGTTGGGGAAGGAATTTGTAAAAATCATCCTGTTACATAGTAACATTATCCTTTTTTTTTTTTTTTTAAAGACAGTATGTAGCTCAGGCTGGCTCTGAACTTGCTGTGTAGCTCAGGCTGGCTGGCTCGCTCCTGCCTCAGGTATGTGCTACCACACCTGGCTTTCCTAACTTCTTAAAATCTGTAATTCAATTTTAAAGATTAAGGCAGAGTTGGGTGTGATGATGCACGCCTGTAATCCCAGCTCTCGGAGGGTGAGGTAGGCGGACTGTCGAGGAAGAGAGAGTTCCAGTCCAACCTGAACCTCATCACGAGACCCTGTCTGAAAAACCAAATAATAATGATGAGAATGGTAAGAGGATGTTGTTGATGATGAGGACTGAAATAGCTGGACACACGGGTGGGAATCACCATTTTTCTTGGATGGCTCTGAGCGTTTCCTTGCTCTGATCTCCCTTATAGCGAGCTCCTTTCCACACCAAACCTTGTCCCGACCTGCACTTCCTCCCACACGTTCCTCCTCCGCGGGATCCGGCGTGCCCGCATCACCAGAGAGCACCAGAGAACACAGGCCCAGCTGCCCTAGCCGGGGCCCACGAGGACACGCCACCTGGGCCGGCTCCGCGTTACCTCAGCCGTGCTCTTGGCGACCTGAAAGCTGGAGCTCTTGAACAGCCCCACCACCTTCACCCGCAGCGGCTGCTCGGGCGCCGACGGCGAGCTGCACGCGGCAGGCAGGGGCGGGGGCCGCGGAGCGCAGGCCATGGCGGCGCTCGGGGACGCACGCGAGCGCAAACACCGCGCGTCACCACGGCAACCGCGCGGCCCCGCCCCCAGCGCCCACAGAGGCGGGGCGGGGCGGGGCGGGGCGGGGCCTCTCCCGGCGCTCGCCTGTTGCTGGGAGCCGGGCCGGGGACCCGCGCGGCGGCCGGGAGCGCGCTCCGGGGCGAAGGGACCGAGCGCGGCCGCTGAGACGCCCTCTCGGGACCCCAGCGGCCTCGCGCGCGGCCCTCGCCGACCCGCGGAGCCGGAACCTCGCGGCAGCTCTCCTTTCCGGGTTGGCGACCGGCCAGGGCCGGGCCGGCGAGCGGGCTGGGGGCCGGTGACCCGGAGCAGCCCCGGGCCGGAGCCGCTGCGGCGGGGGCGGCGCGGAGCCGGCTCGGCCACCTGTGCGCGCCGCGGGCCACCTGTGCGCGCCTCCTCCTCCGTCTCGGCGTGGCTGGCGACACCGATGGTGGCGTCCCCTGGCGCCATGAAGCCCAACTTTTCTCTGCGACTGAGAGTCTTCAACCTCAACTGCTGGTGAGTGCGCCCGCCGGCACGGCCTGAGAGCTTCTACCTTCGCACCTGCACATCCAGAGGGGAAGCTGGCCTTCCCCCCAAGCCAGGCCACAGCCCTAACCGTCCTGTGATCTTGGGGTGCAGGGTTAACCCTAACCGCCCAGCCTACTGCGGCCGCGGCTCTGGTGGTGCGAGCAGTCACCTCCCCTGATCCTGCCCTTCTTTTCCTTAGGGACATTCCCTACTTGAGCAAGCACCGGGCCGACCGCATTAAGCGTCTGGGAGACTTTCTGAACATGGAGAGCTTCGACCTGGCCCTTTTGGAGGAGGTGGGGTTGGTTGTACGGCCAGGGTGGGGATCCCAGACGGGGGGGGGGGGCAACAGAGGAGGAGGTCCCTCCGGAAAGACCAGGTGGGCATTGGCACGCTTCCCTCAGGTGTGGAGTGAGCAGGACTTCCAGGGCCTGAGGCAGAAGCTGGCTGTGCCCTACCCAGCTGCACACTACTTCAGGAGGTGAGAAGTCTGCAGGCCTGAGCATGTTCCCAACCAAAGAGGCTCTTGGTCCCACCTGCCCGCCCCGTTCTGCCGGTGCCCTTTCCCTCTCCTTGGGTTTGGGAGCAGGAAGGCTGAACCAGAAGGTCCTAGCTAATCAGCCCTTCTCAGCCTATTAGTTGGTGGCCCCTTTTTCCTTGCAAAGGCTACCCAGCAGTTGAAAGAGAAAAGTAGCTGATCTCAGCTGGGAGACAAGAGAGGAGGGATGGTTGCGGATTTCCCTCCTTGGCTGTTCTGGTTATTAACAGGCCTTGGTTTTCAGCGGAATCATTGGCAGTGGGCTGTGTGTCTTCTCCAAGCACCCAATCCAGGAAATCAGCCAGCACGTCTACACCCTCAATGGATACCCCTACATGGTAAACCTCCCCTCTTCTACCCTTGCTAATCCAAGGCAGAAGAGGCAGCCCTCCTGGGGTTGTAGGGACTGGGTGGGAAGGTGGCAGTTCTTTGAGTTGTTGCCTCCTCCTGCCTGCAGATCCATCACAGTGACTGGTTCTGTGGGAAGGCTGTCGGGCTGCTGGTGCTCCATCTCAGTGGACTGGTGCTGAATGTCTATGTGACCCATGTGAGTGAAGCCAGCTGTGTCCCAGGGATGGCATTCCTCCAGCCCTGCTGCATGAGGGTGAGGTGTAGGGGCAGGGTTTCCTAAGGTAGCAGCAGACAAGATCTACGTATTCTGTCCCGAACACCATGCCAAGTGACTGCCTGACTTGGGCAAGCCCCTGGGACCCTTAGTCCTCCCTGCCCTAACCTCATCTATTTCACTCAGCTGCATGCCGAATACAGTCGACAGAAGGACGTCTACCTAACACATCGTGTGGCCCAAGCTTGGGAACTGGCCCAGTTCATCCAGTGTGTGAGCCTGGGCTTGGCAGGGGAAGCGGGATGGGGCCTTACACAGTAGAGGTGCTGAAGGAAGATGGCCTTTCTCACCAACATGGCCCCCCCAGCCACACATCAAAGAAGGCAGATGTGGTTCTGTTGTGTGGTGACCTCAACATGCACCCGAAAGACCTGGGCTGCCGCCTGCTGAAGGAGTACACGGGCCTGCTCGATGCCTATCTCAAGGCCCAAGACTTCCAGGTGAGAACCTGCCTGTACCTCTAGATTCTCCCATCCTGTAGCCCCCACATCCTAACGCTAGCCGGCCATCGCCCTAGGGTCCTGAAGACGGCTACACCATGGTAAAGCAGAACTGCTATGTCAGGCAGCAAGACCTGAGCCCATTTCCCTTTGGCATCCGGATTGATTATGTGCTTTACAAGGTCAGCCTCCTGCTCCCAGCACACCTTCACCTGCTGTCTCCTTGTCCCCCCCTCCGCCGACTCCTTCTTCACTGATGACTGAGACTGTCTGGAGGAGCTGCACTGGCTCTCCAGGGTAAGCTCCTGTCTAGTGCTTCTTTTCCCTAGGCGGTTCCTGGGCTCTACATCTCCTGTAAGACTCTCAAGACCACTACTGGCCATCACCCCCACCATGGCACCCCGCTATCGGATCATGAGGCCCTCATGGCAACTCTGTGTGTGAGACATGGCCCCCCTCAGCAGAGCCCCAGCCCTCCTCACGGTGAGTGCCCTTTTCCCTGGCTCTTCTGTACCTCAAGGCAGCCCCTCTACTCTGACGGACGTCTCACCCACCACCCTGCCTTGTCTAGGCCCAGTGGAGAAGTCGTTGCTGACCAGAGTGCTGAGAGAAGCCCGGATGGAGCTGGGCCTGGGTATCGCCCGAGCTCGCTGGTGGACCACCTTTGCTGGCTATGCGACTGGCCTGGGGCTGCTTGCCCTGGTGTTACTGTGTGTGCTAGCTGTAGGGGAAGGGCCCAGTGAAGTAGCCATGCTGCTCTGGAGCCCCAGTGTAGGACTGGCGCTAGGGGCAGGTGCAGTCTTCCTCTTCCACATGCACGAAACCAAAGGCTTATGTAGCATCCAGGCTGAGCTCCAGCATGCCCTGGAAAAGGCCAAGGAGACCCAGGACCTGGGCCCAGAGCCCCAGTTAGCCCCACTCCCGGGACAGCAGGAGGGGGACAGAGACGAGGAACAATAAAACTTGACACTTCAGTGGTCTGCATTCTTCCTTGTTGAGCCAGTGGTGGCAGCCAGAGTTTAGCGTGGCTGTTGCAGTGGTCATCCCAGCGCCCACTTCATGCAGCCTAAACGCTGTTTGTGGCAGAAGTACTTTTATTGTGAACAGAGGCCCCCTTTGAGGCAGCCCAATGAGTTGGGGTGGCAGTGTCCTGGCACGAGCCCAGCCTGCAGGGAGAAGGCGAGCAGCCCGGCCTCTTCCAGCCAGGGCCCTGTGGCTCAGGCCAGCTCACTGAGCCTGCACTCCTCCCGGAAGCGGATGAGGGCATCCCGCTGGTTCACGACCTCCACCAGCTTCCTCAGGATCTCGTCCTCAGCCTGACGGTCCTCCGCTGTCTTCAGGGTTTCTGAAGTGAGGAAGCAACGCTTAGAGAACAGGAGGGTGGCCAGGGAGGCGGGAGAGGCTCAGCCATATCCCAGCTTGTGTGATTTCATACCCAGGCTTTGTCCCTTGCCCGAGGTATTACAGGATTTGTCCATACCATGGTTTTCTAGCATTAGTGAGCAGCAGGCACCTTGCTAAAGCCTAACTGGGCAGCTTTGATTAGACTAAAAGGAGAATGAGAGCTGTGGAGTCCACCCTGTGGCCCTCTCCTAGCTTGCTGGGTCAGTATCCAAAGTCACAGGCATCCCACCTACCTTCCCGGTTCATGTAACCTCGCAGCTCGTGGTCCAGCTGCCACTGCTTCTCCTCTAGGTCCAGTTCCTGTACCCTGTGGAGGTCAGAGATGGAAGAGGCCCTGCTGTAAAGGGTGCCCACATGGCTGGGGCCTTCCGTGTGCCCGTCACCATCCCCGTGCCTTACGTAATCGTGAGCTCAGCCTCCTCGGCCACCAGGCTGTTTTTCTTCTGAACCAGCTGTAGCAGCTGTTCTAACCAGAGTTTCTTTTGCTGTTCTGGGGAAGCTGACAGGGAGGAAGAGGGAGGGGGAAGGTCACAGGAGTGTCCTGGGGGACATGCTTGGGAAAGGAGGGGATTTTGGATGTATCAGAGCTGTGTAGCATGGCCATGGGCCCTGCTGGGGGTCAGAGCTTGCAAGACTCAAGGGATTGCTGTGGGCTGAACAGAGTGTCAGAAGACAGAGTGTCCCAGCTTGTCCCCTTCCTGTCTTCACTCACTGCTCTGGCTCCTCAAGGCCAATTCCAGCTTCACACCCTCAGCCTCCAGCTCCCGCAGAGCAGCCTCAATTTCATTTAGTCGCCGCTGGATAGTCTGAGGGTATAAGACAGGAGGCCCTGGGGTCTGGACCACTTGAGAACGGAGCCCTGGAGCTCTGATCCCAGGCTCTGAAATAAGACCCCTGCCCCAAGCACACCTGACATTCCAAAGCCTCACCTGAGCCTTGCAGAACCTCTTCATCTCCTCCTCCTTAGCATGGCGCAGCAGAGTCCGACGCCACGTTGGGTATTTGTCCATGGTGCCTGCATTCTTGGCCATCGTCTGCAGGGCCTGTGGGAGGGTTGGGCCAGTTAGGGGTAGGACCCCTGGCAACAAGAGTGGGGCGAGCTCTGTGTGGAGGGACAGAAAAGAACCTAAGCTGGAAATGGGGTAAGTTTAGGTAGAAAAGGTGGAGGCTCAAAAGCATAAAAGTCAATTCAGGGTGAGAACCTGCCCAGAGTAAGGTGTAGGCTGAAGTTTCTCCCTTGGTGGGGGTGGACAGTATCTGATGGATACATGCTGGCCAGGGCAGTGAAGGTGGCCAGGTTCCTACCAGTCACCTGCTCCAAGTCTGGGTCCAAAGGCTCATCATCATCATCCTCCTCTTCATTGTCAGAGGAACTCTCTTCCTCTTCCATGGCCTCAAAAACTGAGCAGATGAGAGAAGACACAGCCTGGTACCCCGTGATCTGCCCCCCTACTCCCCGGTATTCCCAGGAGTCCTCCTACCCCATCGGCGGCACACCTGTGGAAGAGTAGTTACCAGGCAGACTCCGGGCTGGCATACCCCAGCCCACAAAGCTGCCCTCCAGGGCCTCTCGTGCCAAGGCTGAGCAGCTTCGAGGGGGCTTGGGTGGCGGCTCCATTTCTGGGCTGGGGTTAATGTCGAGAGAGGAGAGCCGCTGGCGTTCTGGGCTGGAGAGACGGATCAGCCGACGGGCAGGCTGCCTGGGGCATGGGATGGGACTGGCCTCCTCCTGAGGGGCTGTGGGAGTCAAGGGGCCTGGTGGCACGCTATTTGCATCTGGGGTGGGGAGTTCCTGGAAAAGCCACCACATGGTCTAGTTAGGGACCTGCCCGAAGTGAGGCCGACGGCCACCTCTTTGGAGCCAATATGGGCTCTGGCTTTGATTCACTTAGCACCTAGTGGACACTGTCCCAGGCAGTGTTCTGGATACTAGGCTACAGCAATAAGTAAAGCCAGACAAATAGCCCAGCTTCAGGCAGTTTACTAGTCTAGAGGAGTACCGAGCTTTCATTTAGCCCAGCACACACACACACACACACACAGAGTCCTTACAGGACTGGTGGAGCCTCCATCCATGATATCCTTTTTGTGGTCAGTCCCAGGCAGGTGCTGGAGGCAGTAGAAATGCCCTGAGGAAGGTGGAGGGGGCGGGGGCATCTGTTACGGCAATGGATACCTAGACAGTTTCATGGGGAAGGCAGGCCACAGGACGATCACTAACAAGTACGTTTCTAGCAGTCCTGGGTCCTTAGAAACTCTCATCTGGGGTTGGGAGGGAATAACACCCAAAATTCAGCAAGTGCCAGCTTGAGCCTGTCTGCACCGTACGCCCAGCACCCTCTCTCTCTCCTCTCCCAAGCTCCTTGTCCCCAGCAGAGCCATGCCCAGAGTTCCTCAAGCAGTCTCCCAGGCCTGCTCACCATCTGGGTGCTGCCCGTAGCCACCTGGCCACAGTGTGGCCTCACAGGCATGGCAGCGGAAGCAGCTCCGGTGGAAGAAGTGCCCGTCTACGCAGAAGCGCTCCAGGATGTAGAGGTGCTCCCCACAAAGGGCACACAGGCCCCTGGCATCAGCCTGCACAGATTCCTAGGACACAAGGCCAGCTGCAGCTCTTTCAAAGGCCTCTTTTCCTTGCCCTCCTAGGTCTCTAACAAGCAGCACTTACCTCCTGCTGTTGGGGTGGGGGTACCAGGGGACCCCTGGACTCTGGTGCAGGCGGCTCCTCAGTCCTTGGGGTGTCAGCCTCTACCTAAGGAGGTAAGTGTGCAGCAGGCAGGATCAGTGGAGCAGAGGAAACAACAGGAAGGGCAGGAGAAGGGACTGAGGGTGGCAGAGCGTGGCTGCATCTGGGGTGGAGGGCAAGGTGGGGAGCAGGACGCAGGATGGGAGCCATCCACACTTACCTCCAAGCGAGGCTTCTTGCCGCCAGCATCCCCGCTGTTCTCCTGCAACAAGTCCTACAGCTGTGAGCTTGAGATGCTGAGCCTTGGCCTCCCCTCCCCCATGCCGATGTCCTCCAGCATCCCTCCGGGGACCTCACTGGGCCTTCCGTCCCCCCAGCCCCAACACTCCCCAGACTGCACCTTGGCCCGGGTGCGTTGCAGCGTCCTCTGGAGTTTGCCAAGGAATAACACCGCACTGGAAGTCCCAGGAGAGCCCTGGTTGACTGGACCTGCGGGCCGGCTCTGGGTGTCAGGGTAGAGGGGCCATTCTCCAGCCCAGGCAGCCCTACAGAGGGTGCCCCCTCCCTTCTCTTGTCCCCCGTACCCATCCTACCCCCTTTCCCCCAGGTCACCTGGGCTGTTGGGGGTGTTCTTGAAGGCACTGTGAAAGTGGCTGAGGTAGGCGATAAGGCCCAGGGGGTCACTGCCCGCCACCACGGCTTGTGCGGACACCACGGGTGTGATGCCCAGCTCATGTTCAGCTGCCCTCAGTGCCCAGGTGGTCGCTTCCAGAGCCCCCATATCCTGCACCTCTGAGGGTCCCCTGTGGGGTGTGACAGAGACACCAATGGGAGGTAAGAACTTTGGTTCACCGAGTGAGGAGAAGGGCAGGGAGCGAGGGCCAGCAGGATGGACCTGGGCAGTGGTTTACTTGCCAACAACAGGCCCTTCTGGCCTCGGGAGCCCTGACCCTCTCACGGTCCTCCCCTCTGAATGCATCAGATTCTGTCAAGACTTGGGGCAAGCAGTCCAGTGAGGGTGTGTTCCCCATAGAGGTGAAGACAGGTGGGCAGAGGGGTGGGGCTGGGACTCTGGGCGTGCTAGAAGTCCCTGCCAAGGTGTAAAGGGAAAGGCAGGGGCCCCGTGCCGCCCCCTGACTCACAGCAGGCTGGGCTGCAGCCGGTGCACCAGGGCACACAAGGCTCGCCCATCAGCCCAGGAGGAAGACAAGTCGGTGACGTGGACTCCTGGGTACCCAGCCGTCTTTTCCTGGCACCAATGTAGCAGCTCCTCTTGGGTACCTGCTGACCCTGGGAAGGAAGGCTGATCTGTGCCAAGACCCCCTCTGCGCCCCCCTGGCCTGGAGCCTCACTGTGGGACCCATGCACGTGTCCGGGGCATCGCCTAATGCTCACAGAAGCATCCCCTTCATCCCCACTGTTACTATAAAAGTTCCTTTTGGCACAAAGTGCGAGAATGAATACAATGGAAGAATTAAGTCACAGTTACACAGCAGCAAAAGGCTGTGAACTGGGGGTACCAGAGGCCCTGAAGCTCAGGTAAGGCAGTTTGGGGTTTGCAAGGCCGAGAGACGTTGGCAGGACAGCTGCCGCTCAGCACCACTGCTGACGCAGTGCTTGGTAATATACTGAAGTATTTCCCTAAGGCTGGTGCTGCTTCCAGCACTGCCCTTCCACTCCTCCAGGGCCCCAGCCACCCTACCAAACACACTGTCCCAGTGGGCTGGGTGTCTTGAGGCTGCAGCACTCAGACTGGACATCCCTTAGGAGGAAGGCCTGCTCACCAGTGGTCGGATTCCCTCTGTTAGGCTTGTCATTCTTCTTTGGCACAGGTCCCTTGGCCACCACATCATACAGGTCTCGCACCTAAGACAGCCCTCTCAGGTCTCAAGACAGCTGACCACATACCCTGTGCCCGTGGGGGAGGGATCTTCCTAGGGTAGGACTGACCCTGCACCCCGGGGCTGTGACTGGGCAGGAAAGGGCTGGCCCAGGAGAAGCCCAGGGAGGGCACAGGGGAGGTCTGACCTGGTTGGGGGTTACAGCCTTGAGGTTCAGGTTGGGGTAGCGGCTGGCTGGGTCCAGCCCATACTGGGCCACGTTGCGGTGCATGTTTTCCGGGGACGTCTGTGATAGAAGCTGGTACAGACTCTCACTGAGGGGTGTGGGTGAGGGGCAGCGGCAGGAATAAGAGGGTACCCGTCAGCTCCCAACCCTCAATAACTGCCAGCCCTTTCCGGTATTTTCTTTTTACCCATCACCTGTCCCCCAATACCTCCGGCTCCTCTCCCCACATTCCACCCTGCCAGCACTACTCTCCCCAGCTCAGGCCTCACCGCTCAGCCAGCACCTCTAGGGGCTCAGTGCCCTCTGCCCACCGCTTCACCATCCAGGCTGCATCAAAGGCTGCCAAGAAGCCCCGGGCTACTCCAGTGCCCAGCGGCCAGAAGGGCTGTGGGATCAGAGGAACAGGAAATAGCTCAGTGAGAATCCAGTGGCAGCTTTCCAAAGTCACGGGAGGGTGAGGGAAAGCAGCCTAACCCAGCAGCTTTCACCTGCACCAAGCAGCCTGGAGCTCCTCCCTCGACAAGCAGGCCCTGCCCACCGCCATCAGGTTTCCTGCCCCAGCCATGGCACAGGCCGTGGGGCCTCACCTCCACCAAGCAGTCCCCGACCAGGCCGAGCAGCAGGCGCGCACCATGCTTCTCTTGCACACGAGCGGAACATTCTGCCCGCAGCATGCTTGTGAAGTCGAAGGCAGAGATGTCAGGCCGCCCACGGGCGTCCTGGGCAAACTCTAGCTTCCCCAGCTTGCCGTTGGTGGCGAAGTCAGCAGCTGCCCGAACAAAGCGCTGCAGAGCCTCAGGTACCACATTGGCGCTGCTCAGCAGCTGCTCAGTCTCCAGACGGTCCTACGTGGCCAACAGATTAGAACCTTGGCTGTAGAAGGTACATCTATTGGGCCAGGAATTTAGCTCAGCGGCATAAGCACCTGCCTGGCAAGCGCAAGGTCATGAGTTCGATCCCTAGTACGCACCAAGAAAAAAAAATGCACCTACTAAAGCTCAGAGAAGGGAAGGAGTGGACCAGACCTCACCTGATCAACTGCTGAAGTAAGACTAGACTCAGCTGCCTCTGTGACTGGGGGAGGGGGTTCTAGGCTCTGCCCTGCCCATGACCATCGCATACCTGACCTGGCACGACCTGTCAGAGCCTCAGCTTGTGTATCATTTAGAGACAACCAGGTACTTGCAAAAATAAGGGAAAATGCAAAATAAGTCCTCACAGCACTTAGCACGTGCTAGGCGCCCAACTAATTTATTAACTCGGCATTTATACATGTTGGGCACTTCAGAGTACGCAGTGTTCTAGGTGATGGGAATTAGCAAGAGACAAAGATCCCTGTTCCTGTGGAGCGTTCATTTATAGTGCTTTGGCTGGTGTAAGAAAATGATTCACACTGGCATGCAAATCTCAGGGGAGCAGGGCTGGCAGGAGTGGATGGGATGGGGTTGCTCCATGCCCAGGGGAGACTGTCAGGTCCAGCCCCCACCTGGCGGAGCACTCCGAGCCTCAGCAGGCACTGTTTCTTAGCTGTCATCACAAAGTAGTGGGTGTCATCCTTGTAGTAGACAATGTTCTCCAGATCAATTCCTGGGGAGACAGCAGGGGAGAAATGTCGCATGCAGCTGCACAATCTACAAACTCTCCCACCATGGCTGGGATCTCAGAGCTGGGACCCCAGCTTAGGCTGCAGTGCTAAGCCACACACAGAGCCCCAAGAGTCCGGGTGGCACAAGGGACCATCTGTCCAAGGCCCAGGAGGCCCGATGACTTAGAGCAAACAGGGAAATGCAGAGTGGGTGGCAGCTGGGCGCCTTGTACCACATGGGTATGTTGCAGTAGGAAGCCAAACTAAGCATAGGATCCTTTTGAAGCACGACTTCTGTTTTCAGTTGACATTTTTGTATTAAAGCATAAAGGAGTACAAAGCAAAATGCTCAGGTACTCTGTGAGATTTCCAGGATTTTACGCTGGATGGGCAAGCAGGGCTGTGGATGCTCGGTCCCTGGTGGGGATGGGTCTTTTCCCCTTGCTTGCCAGACCACAAAGATGGCCAAGTGTGGGATTCCTTGGATGAAGGGCAGGTCTAGGAGGGAGAGATAGGAACTAGCCCATAGTTAAGCCAGGAGAAGAGCCAGCCAGCAAGCGGGCTGACCTGTGGCTTTGAGCAGGCTCTGGAAGAATTTCTGGTTGTAGATCCGGGCCACACCACTGATCTCAGGCACCTGTGTCTCCTCTGCCGTCCGCCGATTCACGAAGTTGGCTGTGATACCAATGGCCAATTTGCCCCGCATTTCTCGAACTGTGAAGCCTAGTGGTGGGGATACGTGGGAATGGCAGAAGGACCAGGAGTATCACTTCCTGGGCCCTCAAAGGGCCCAAAATGGTGGCATTTATGATGGAAGGGATCACTTACCTTCAGGAACAAATTTGCTTCCTGCAGCCGAGATAAGGACATCGAATTCATAGTTGGCCAGTTGGTCTGGGGGCTTGGGTTGGAGCTGGGCACGCCAGCCACTGCCTGCAGCACAGGATACGAGAGGCACAAAGGTGTAGAACTGGGAGGGCTTTGACTTTGTCAGGTCAAGCTAGTGAAATGATTTAAAATGAACGTGTGAAGGACTCTGGTTTACAGGCAGTACACCTCACTGTCGATCACACCATACCCTCCCGGCAGCCAAGTCAGGCCAGCAAGGAAAGAAATGCTATTAGCATTCTGCACATTCTAGCCAAGGCTGAGATAGGGACTTAGCTGACTCCTGCCCTGCCCCTTTTATCCACTGACCAAGGCCTCCTTGGTGGGAGAGACTCACAGGAACAGAGTTACTTACCTTTTCTGAGAGGAGGCTGGAGGCCAGTGAAAGTGACACCCCAGTGAATTTCCACCCCCAGCAGCAACGCCACTTTGAGTAGAAGCAGCTGCAGTTGCCGTATGCCTGAAAAGGAGAAGACATTCAGAAGGGGGCACCTGGGGCGGCATGGCTTCCCTCACTACCAGTGTGGGCCTGGCCAAGGGCACTCAGTGGCCACGCAGAGGGCGGGTCTGGGTATTCACGGCCGCGTGGCAAAGCGAACCCTGTCCTCTCTGTCGATCAGCAGCCCCAGCAGGTCCACTGGCCTGCCGCTAGGCCCAGCGCACCCCCATCCCTCCAGACCGCCACACAGGACTCACTGATGTGGTCCAAGGTGCCAGTGCAGAAGCGCCCGTAGAACTTTTTGGCGCCCAGTGCCCGCAGGTCATGGATGGTGAAGGGCCAGAGGTGAAGCACGTTGTGACGAGAGAACTTGGTGCGCTTTTCCACCAGCACCACTCGGGCGCCCAGCAGGGCCAGCTCCACTGCAGCCCGCAGCCCACAGGGTCCAGCGCCCACTACCAGGCACTGCAAAGGCACAGGACAGGGCAGGCATGGCATTTGTGTGACTCCCCTCAACACACACTCTCCTTCCCAGGTGCTGGGTATCTACCTTGGTGCTGGTGCAGGCCTGGCCCTGCTGGTACACAGGCTGGCTGGCTCGCTTGTCCAACTTGGCCCACAGCGACTTGGCACTCCAGTAGTTGAGCTGGGCCTTGATCTTGTGGTACTGGGGCAGCCCACACCCGGGCTCTACGCCCAGAGCCCCGCACAGCTCCCGAAAGCTGCTCAGCACATCCTGGCACAGCTGGGCCTGCAGGAAGCTCTCGAAGTGGGCGTGTGCTGGATTGGGAGAGCTGGAAGAAGCCATGGAGCCTCCCCTGGGTCTCCTGGGGAGCGGAGCAGCTGAGCAGAGCCCCGGGCTACCGGAAAGAAAGAGAGGAAAGAAGGGAGGAGCCTGAGAGCAGAGGCAGAGAAAGGGCGGGCAGTGGGGGAGGGGCGGCAGGCTGCTTTCTCCCAGCCCACTCTCCTGCTGGGATCCGCTGCAGAGGCAGCAGCTATCTATAGTCCAGTGCAAGTGAAATTTGCCAAATTTGGAAATGAAAAATTAGTCCCGGCCACAGGGACACTATGGAGGGACGGCCTCCAGCTAACCCTCCGTGTGCGAGGACCCCCAGGGCCCAAGGGGCAGACAGGGACAGACCTGAGAGCGCACCGTGGGCGCAGATACGGTTCCACCGCACCCGTCTCACCCGGCGCTTCCCTCCGTCGCTGCCACTTGGTGGCCTCAGTACCACGCTGTTTGTGGAATGTGTCGCAAGCCAAGGACAAAGTTTTCCTGCCCGGCCCTCGCGCCTGCCCCTGGACAGAGGAGACCGCCTCTGCCTGACGGTGAGTGTCCACTTCCCCACCTCCACTCCCTCCGCAGGCAGCCGTCTGACAGCCGAGACTGCGTGTGACACAGGGCGAGGCTATTTCTGACTGCGGGCAGAACACTTCCGCTGTGACCCAGCCGCCGCTCGGGGGGCCCGCAGGAGCGGGGAGCCCGCGGGGTTCCGCCTACCCCGGCCGCCCTGCCCCTTTCTCCGGGCGCCAGCCTGGGCGCGCTCTCCCAGGAATCTCGAGAGACAGGGCTTCCCTTGTCCCCTCTCCCCCTCCGCCCACACGCAGCTAGCGGGGTGTTGGGGGGGGGGACCCGAGGCCGTGGGAGAATGGGCAGCCCGCGGAGCAGTCGGGAGGGGGCGCTGCTGGGGGCTGATCTGCATCCTCCGCGGTCTCCTGTGCGGTCAGCCGGCGACGCTGAGGCGAGAGCGGGCGAAAGGCCAAGGCTTCTTTCGGGAAGGGGGTGCCAGGACTAAACTCCCCACGAAGGGTGGGAGAAGGGCGACCCTGCCTGGAAACGCTGGGACACTGAATGTGCGGCCCAAAGGGATGGAGCGGCCCAAAGGGATGGAGCGCAGGACGGTCGAGCTCGGCGGCGGGGACTCGAGGGGCTCAGGGGGGCCGAGCGAGGTCCCCGAGCGCCGGCGACGCTTTCCTCGGGAGCGCCCACCCCGTCCCGGCGCTGCGCAGCTTACCTGGGGCCGGGCTGGAGCCGGGGGCCTCTCCTCCCTGCTAGCCCGGGCGCGGCGAGGGGCGCGGGGCGGGGCACAGGGCGTTGGGCGCAGGGCGTAGGGCGCAGGAGGTGGCGCGAAAGCGGGGCTCCCCGGCGGGCTAGGCCGGAGCGCGCGGAGTGTAGATGAGGGCGCCCCTCCGAAGCTGTGTCCACGCCTCTTTAGCGTGACACTACCGCGCTGTCCCACTCGGGACAGCCCCGGCCCGCAGGGCGGTGGCTGAGGGCGTGGCGCCGGGAGTGCTCAGCTGTGCTGGGCGGCGGGAGAGCCAGTGCGGGCCCCGGGCCTCGGAGCCTGGGGCTCCGGGCGGGGCGCGCAGTGCCTTGTTGCTCACCCGTGGTCGGTGCAGTTCCGGCCCCCTTCCTCCGCGGGCGGGGCGAGGATCCCCAGCCCCTTGCCGTGCCAGCTCCGCAACCGGCCTCCGAGCCCCGAACGAGGGCGCCCTCGGCCCCGCCGAGGAGTTTGTTGAAGCTGGCGGGTCCAGGATGGCGCCGGGACGTCTGTGTGCCCGTGCACACGGGCAGATCCAAAACACGGGCGCCCCACGACGGATCCCATAGTGAAATCAGCCTTCCCTGCGACAGGCAGCAGCCTTGTCCAGGCCGAGGACAAAGTCCTCGGATTAAAGTCCTGGGAACCCAGCAATCCGTGGCTTCCAGCTGTGCAAAAGGGGCCAGTAGTGTTCCACTACTAAGAAAGCAGGAATGGGGTGGCGGTGCAGGTCTCCAGCATTCAGGAATGCCTTAAAATGAGAACTCCCGGGCCGGAGGTTTAGCTCAGCGGCGTAACTGCCTGCTGGGCAAACGCGAGGTCAAGAGTTCGATCCTCAGTACCACAGAAAAAGACCAAAATGAGGACTCCTGAAACTGGCGGTGCTGCAAAGACCCTTGGGATTTACTTCATTATATTCTGGATCCGAAGTCATTCAGTTAGTTAATAAAACATCAGTTCTTATTTACTGAACACCATACTGTGAATATTGCCATAATCTGTGTCTACATCTACCGAGCAAGAAACTGAAGGTCACAGAGTCTCCGTGAGCTGCACTAATTACACACCGAGTGGCAGAGCGCGGGGCAGCCCTGCCTGAGTCAGGGCTCGGCCACACCACGCGATCCAACATGATGGCTGAGAGGCTGGCATTCTGAGAAGGTGCTCTTTGTTTAGAGCAAGAGACCACCCTCACATAACTGAGGAATAAATGGGTCAGAAAAGGCTGGCGGCAGGATCCCGGTCCTTTCCCGGCTCTTTATTCACATGGTTGGGAGGCCTGAGACTAGGTGAGCCTGAACTGCTCCTAGGCAGAGCTGGAGAAGCAGGCAGGGCAGGAAAGGAGGAGGAAAGGTCAGCTCTCTGCCGGGGAAGGCCAGGCGATTCATTGGGTCAGGATCAGCAAACTAGGGCAGCTCCCAGCTGGACCCATTCTAGCTCCTGAGTGTGACACATCATCTGGCTTGAAGTTATTTTATTAACTGTCAGACACACCCATGTTTGAACACATAGTATAAAAAATGCTCTCAGGTCCACTATAAATGGCCTACCAGGCTTTTAGAATCAGCTCATTTCCCCGTGTGGGCAGATAGCAGCTGACTGTGTTTGCAAAGGGGAACAGGGTCTGGCTCACTCTGACCTTCAGTTGCAAATGAGGTTCTGCAGCTCTCTTAACTCTTACTGAAGTGTACAGTTTGACTTCACCAAGGTCACAGAATAGTAATATGGTAAAAATCCTACTAACTGGGAGTGTTTTTGCTTATGCTAATCAAGGGCTTACCCTGGAGCTTCAAGCTGTAGGGCTCCTTGGAGCTGGAATCCAGAAGGTCTGGTTGGATTCCAGCCTTGCTTTGCACTAGGTCTTGCGTGACCTTGTCAAATCACAAACTGTATTTCAGGAGTTCACGATTCAATTTCATCATTCCATTTCCACTACCAAAATGCTAATATTCAGTGTTGTTGGCCATAAATGTCAGATTGGAAGACCCAAACCAAGTTTTACTTACAAGAGTTCAGAGAAAACAAGACTATTGTTTTTTTTTTTTTTCTTTTTCCTTTTTATCGGTACCAGGGATCGAACTCACGACCACACACTTGCAAGGCAGGCACTTATGCCGCTGAGCTAACCCCCAGCCCCAACAAGACTGTTATTAAAGACAAAGTGCATTTTATTGCTATCTACAGGCATTTCTCTTTAGAGTTTTTGGTATGATCCACATCGTGTAGAACTAAAAACACTGGCACAATTGCACTGGCCAGTTCATAATGGATAAGTGGATCTCTTAAAAGCCAGCTTTAAGAGATTCCTGTTCTAATGTTTTTGCCAATAATCATGCTAGTGGCCTACACTGCAAACCTAAGACAGGCTTCCTTTTCCTGTCCTATGTCATCCTGTCTCTGTGCAATGCCATCCTTACCTAGCATCTCATCTCTTGGCCTTGGAGCCAGAAACTAGATTGCTAACATTGCAGGTGACATGTCTAAGCCACCCAGTGTGGCCCTGCACCAGTACATTGGTGCCTTCAAACAATGTGTCATGGTGGTTCTGGTCCAGCACAGACTGGCCCAGGGAGACACAGCTCCTGATGTACATATAACTTTACAAAGGTATAGACAGTGCTTGGAAGGTTATGACAGAGTGGCTTGCTAGAGATTAAAGGGTCAGAGCAGGAGTCCCCAATTCCCAGATGACTAGTCCTGAGTCAGTGGGGCAGACAACTTCAAGGCTGAGAAGCTGCCTGGTCCTGAGCCTCAGGCAGGAAAGAGGTGGGTGTGCCTACCCTGTAACAGCCAGGAAGCCAGTGTGGTCAGAATGAGAATGGGGAAGAGGAAGCTGGGTTGGGGACCTTACTTTCCATGCATTTGGGAACTTCAGAGTACCACCAGATGCCATATGCCCTAATAAATGATGCCAAACTACCCATCTAGCAAGGAATCCTGTTTGGTGCTAAGGGGACAATGGTGAGCTCCAGTGGACAGACCTCAGCTGGGTGGAGAAAGGGCTTGGGACAGATCAGTCAGGACCTTCGGCAGGAGTCCAGGCAGGACATGCAGGGTCCACCGCTGGTGGGAGAAAGGGGTGGCCTCAGGAGTACCTGAACTTGGGGATAGGTTTCCGGGGGGGGGGGGGCATGAGGTCAGCCCGTCCAGAATGCCTCCAGCTCTCTCTCTCGGCTTAGCTTGGGATGAATCACACACACATTACAGCCCTACATCCTCTTCTTTGCTCCCACCTCACCCCGCAGTTGTTGCTGTTTATTACATCTTCCCGAGTCAGAGCGTGATCTGAGACTCCAAGCCAACACCAGGGACTCTGCACAGACTAAACCTGAGGTTCAGGTCAGTTTACTTTCTCACACTTTGTTATTAGGAAGAATTTATCCAAAAGCTTAAGCCTAACAGAAGCTATCTATGGATTTTTAAAATGCAGTTTTGAGGAGATATGAAGATTATATTCATGCGCCAACCCCGCACGATGAGTGAGTTTGGTATGTACTGCAAACATATACTAATAACATTTTTTAAAATGCAGTTTTGTTTTTAACTCTAATTTAGCCTGTAGGACCTTCAGTACAACTTTTAACAAGATAAAAACAATTATGAGTGGACTAAAGCCAAGAGCCCAACTAGTCTTCTGGAAACTCATCTTCAAATTCACCTTTAGGGAGAAGGATGGGATCCGGTACCAAACTCAGGACATCGCACTTGCCAGGCAGGTGGCACTGAACTTTATTCCCAAGCCACGTTATGGATATTAAGAATTCAAAGGTGGGAGGCTGAAGCAGAAGACCCAACCCTGTATCAATCACAAAATGCACAAAAACTTTAATACTTGTAAATCTGCCCTGAACTTAAAAATTTTGTTTTACTGAGCCCTTGAAAAAAAGAGGTCACTTACATAAGCCCAGCTAAGGCACTTTCATCTTGGTAAACCCTGGTTACACTCAGGCAATCTGTGGTGCCATAAGCACTAGTGAAATGGCCCACTTCTGGAGACTGTCATGTATGCCGACTCTTCAGACACAGGTGCTCAACTCTAGTCTGAAGTCATCAGCTGGAAGCAGCAGTGAGCTAACCCAGGCTTGTGCCTCAGTTCTGGCTCTGCCACTTACATCACTGCTAGCAACAGATATCATCTGTGTGGGCCTCAATGTTCTCATCTTTAAAATGGGCACAAACATCATAATACTACCTACCTCATAGGGATGTCAGGAAAATTAAGACCTGCTTCAATGAGTAACAGGACTGTGCTGGCCCTGGCTGCCCTGTGACTCCAGATGCTGACTGTTCTGAGCTGAATCACCTCCTCTTTCACCAGCCATGTTGAAGCCCTAAGCACCTCAGCATGGGGTTGTATTTGGAGACTTTTAAACAAGTAATTAAGTTACAAATAAAGTCATCCTTACAAAATGAGGCCACAAGCAGGCCAGAAGGGTGTGTAGCGCACAGGTGGAAGACAGCTGGCTATCAAGCCCAGCAGAGGCCCCAGGAAAAGCCACCACTGCTGACACTGCTGTCACATTTCTAACTCACAAAAATGTGAGAAAAGAAATTTCTCACACTTACACTGTCTTGCCTGTGTTACTGTTACGGCCATCCAAGCCAACTACTACACTACGCCAGACCTAGGAGACCTCTGGCCACAGGCTCAACACCTTGCGTGCCATCAGGACAGGCAGCTCTGAGAATCACTGAGATAAAATGCACAGTTAATACACAGCTTCTTTCCTGGCCTGAAGACTCCAGGTGAGCAGGCGTGGTGCACGCCTATAACCTCAGCTGCTCAGGAAGCCGAGGCAGGAAGGCTAGAAATGTGAGACTTGCCTGGGCAACTGAAGACCTTATTTATTCAAAAAAAGAAAAAAAAAAAAAAAAAAAAAAAAGGCCTCCATGTGTAGCGATTCCATACCCTAATTTATGAAAACCAGAATGTAGGGCCAGGGATTTAGGTCAGTGCCACAAGTGCCTGCCTGGCAAGTCCAAGGTCCCGAGTCGAGTGCCGGTACCAAAAAAAAAAAAAGAGACTAGAATGCATGCATGTATATGAGAATCTCCTTTTATTCCTCAGCATCAATGAACCTGTTGCTGACAACACAAAAACTATAGAAAACACACTTTAGATGTAAAATAGGCAAGCATATGCCTGTAATCCCAGTACCTGGGAGGCTGAGGCAGTTCTGGGCTCCCTGTACTATCTAGCAAGACATTGTCTCAAAAACAAAACAGAAGGCTGGGGGTTTAGCCAAGTAGCGTAAGTTGTGAATTCCATCACTGGCACCAAAAAAAAAAAAAAAAAAACCACCCAAAAAAGATGTAAAACAAAGATACTTTCAAGATATTTTGGGAAAGCACATGAATAATTTGTTTTTATGATAGGAGCTTTAGTCTTTCCATGGCCAAGCTAAGGGAAGTCCAAACATTCGCCTTTAAAGCAATTGCATCTTAATAGCTCAAAAGCATGCTCTATTTCCTATAAAATAACTTTGTACTTTTGTGCTTACTAAAAGAATTTTTCCAAACGTGGTGATGCACACCTATAATCCCAGCACTCGGGAGCTGAGGACAGCCACAAATGGGAGGCCAGCCTGGGCCTGTCTCAAAAACAGAAACAGAGTTTTCAGGACTACATTGCACAGAATGAATTGGGAAGCACTGCACTAGCCTGAGGATTTCTTGAGGACCTAATGAAAAGCATTTTTATGTTCATTTCCTTTGGGAATAAAAGTACCTGAACTTTAAAAGGAGGGGTCCCATTCAAGGGCACCAGGGGAGGCTAGCATGGCACAGCTGCTGCTTGCTCGCCTAGCTCTAATGACCAGTCAGATCCAGTGATGGCTGTGAGCACAGCCAGACCCAGAGATGGAGGGGAAGCCACTTAGCCACCTGTGCCACCCACACCTGTGACGTGGCAGTGCAGCCCAGCAACTGGATTTTACCTTTAATTAATTTAAAAATGAAAAACGGATACTTTTACTCACTGAAAAAATTTAAACCTGAGCTGTGACATAACCTGTATTTTGAAGTGTAAGCTGTATGAAATCTAACAATAAATTTGAGATGTGCAATAAGTGTAAAATACACATCAAATTTTGAAGACATCATATGAAAAAGACAAACTACCACTGATGTATTTGTACTACATGTTGATATATTTGGGAAACACTGTACTAGATTAAATAAACTTTTTTTCTTTTGGTATCAGAAACTAACTCAGGACCTTGTGCTTACCAGGCAAGCACTTGGCAGCTGAGCTATATTCCTGGCCTTTAAATAAACTTCTTAAAATTAATTTCACCTTCTTTTTACATTTTTAAATGTAGCCAGTGGAAAATTAAAATTACCAATGTGATTCATTTTGCTATTTCTTAGTTCAGCAGAAGACTGTTACAAACATGCTTAAACTTATCCCACAGCCGTATAGGTCAGGTACGGTGACAAATGCCTACAGCCCCAGCCGCCGCAGAGGCTAAGGCAGGAGGATGACCTGAGGCCAGGAGTTAGACTACTGTTTGGGCAATACAGAGAGACACCAGTCACAGACAGGAGTCAAGTGTGGGGATGCACACCTGTGAGCCCAGCACTGGCTCACATGTGTGCTGAAGCAGGAGGACTGCCACAGTTCTAAGGCCAGCCGGGGCGGCTACACAGTGAGTTCAAAACCAGTCTTGAATGCATAGTGAGCCCCTGCCTCAAAAAACAAAAAACCAAACTCTGCAATAAATAAAAAGAACGACAGGAAGAAAAGGAAAAGAAAAAAGAAAGAAAAGGCAGGCAGGCAGAAAGGAAAAAAAATAACACTAGAGGAGAAGGGAGCTGTAGCTCAGCAGTAAAACCTTGACTCATCTCTAGCATCAAAATGAATAGCCGTACAGCCACGCTTTCTGGGTAATTCCTAACTAAGGCGAGTAAAATTCACTTACACTACACGTTTCCTGGGGAGAACATGTGGACCAGGAGGCTTTGAACAGCTAGTAAGAACTTCAATTTTAAGCACATTAGGGGCTAAGAACATGCCTAGTATGTGTGAGGTCCTGGGTTTGATCCCCAGCACTGCAAAAAAACAATTCATTAAAAAAAAAAAAAAGACTAACATTAAATAGTTTAAGTAAATAACCTGAGTAATATTAAGGTGTAATAGTAAAATTTACACCTTTGTTCCAGTCAGGCCTGATTTAATATTACTTTGGTTGATACATGTGCGATATCTATTATTTTAGAAATTCTGTGAATTACATACAGTAAAATACAACTGGGCAAATACACAACATATAAATACAAAAATAGTTTCATCTTCTCAATTCTCTATTACTTTGACTGTCAGAAGAACTTACTGGATTCAGGGGGAAATAAACGATCTTTTTTTTTTTTTTTTTTGTCTTTTTCCTTTTTAGCGGTACTGGGGATTGAACTCATGACTGCCTGCTTACAAGGCAGGCGCTTATGCCGCTGAACTAAACCTCCAGCCCAAAATAAATGATCTTTAAAACAAGAAAACAACTGACATGAAGATTGTATTACTTTTAAATCTGCTTCCCAGCACCCCTCTGTTAACTGTCATACACTGCAAACCTTCTTCCTCAAAAGATCCCTACCAGTTTACAAGAGAAAAGCAGTCAAAGATTCCAATTAAATACAGTGAAATGGATAACCTTACCCAAATCTAGTATTTTGACATTTTAAAAATTGCATGGTTATAGACACACGCTGATTACTAAGTCTCTGAGGCTTAATTTTTAATCTTAAAAAAATATTTACTTTAAAAAATGTATCCATTTTGTGGAATTTAACCATCAAGCATAAAAACACAGTGTAAGTCTTCACATACAAGACACAGAGCAGTATCTTCAGGGATCAATTACGATTCAGTAGAGCATATTTAACACTTGACATCAAATACAATTTTTTTTCGTCTTTTTGGACAAGATTTCACTATCTAGTTCAGGATAGCCTCAAACTCAGCAATCCTCTTGCCTCAGCCTCCCCCGTGCTGGGATTACAGACGTGCACCACCATGCCCTGCCTCACTGAATATAAATTTATGTCCTAAAATAATTAAGACGTCTTCATAAAATTCGTCTCATAAAATTCAAGTATCATTTCTGACAAAATTCAGAGTTTATCTGGGATGAATGTTACAATCCAATTTCTTTCTTTTTTTTTTTTTGGTGGTACTGGGAATTGAACTCAACCTTGAGCTTGCTAGGCAGATGCTTACGCCACTGAGCTAAATCCAAGGTCAACATTTTTGTAGTTTAACACTAAATGAAAAATTTTAAAGCCTGCTATTAGAATAGAGAAATTTACAGGAAACCTGAATTCATAATTATTTTATAAAGCATACTTTTGCCTTTCCTGTTACAAGATGTTTGAATTATGAATATAGCTTTATCTGAATTTGAATGTCTTCAAATGAGACACTGTGGTGCTGTACAAAGATTAAATGTCAAATTACTCTGTCCTAGGGGACTGGAAGGTATTAAAAAGACAAATTCCCAGTTATACTCTATACACCGTGTCAGCCTGAGAAGTCCAGAAGCTTAACCAAGTGACTCAGCAGTTCTGCATCCCTAAGGTGGAGGACCAACCCTAGGATATCTTACACTGTGTCAATTTGAGAGGGTCAGAAGTTTAACAAAGTGATGGGGGTGGGGGACAGGACCCCTAGTTTGTAACGTTCTCAGCCAGTGCAAGAGGAGGGCAGGCAGATGGTATCAGCACTACACCCACCCCAGGGGGGCAGCCTGCATATAATAATAGGTAAATGAGGAGCTCCAGTCTTCGCCTTCAGCTTGGACATCCTCTGGCTTCTGGCACAGATCGTTCAGCTTCTGCCTGGGACTCTTCAGCCTTCCGTCATAGATTCTTCAGTGTTCCATCACAGACCCATCAGCCTCCTGATACGGACTTGCACAGGACACTGCAGTAAGCTCCAGCCCTTGGGCCGGACCCTTCGGCCTCCAGCGTGCAGACACCTTCTGCACGCTCCCCTCATGACTTTGTGGCTGACCACTGTGAGCCAATCTTATAATGTGTGTATCTTGTGTTATATCTGTTTCTCTAATAAACCCTATCTGATACATTCCCTAAACTCAGCTCTGCCTTCCCTGCACCGCAGTGCCGCACGCATTGTACTGCTCTACCCAATGCAACCTACATGACGACTTCTGTCCTAAAAAATAAAAAAACATACCTAGGTCAGTAAGACCACACCTATGGCCATGAACATTAAATGCTTACAGAAAAGTCTGAATCAATGACCCCAAAGAAAAACTGTCCAGTCTTTGAGAGACTTAGTAGATGAAAATGAAGAGCATTCATTGATATGGAAGTACAGAACATATATTGGTGCTGTGGGTCAGACCAGCACAGCCCTGCCCTAGCTATGCGGACACAGTGAGTTACCGCTGTCTTCTGGCAGCGTATTTCTCCAGAGCTCTGTAATCCAACATGTCAGACAGGGCACGCTGACCACCTGGTTAGAGCTGGCTTCTGGGTCGGGCTCAGGGAGCAGGCACCATCTGTGCAGGTCAGCTCTGCTCCTGGCTAAGTGGTGAGGGTCGGGCCACATGGTGAGCAGGGGATGGCAGCTCGGGGTCCTGCGCCAGCTCCAGGTGCTGAGCAGGGTCTGAAGCACTTGCTGCTAGGTGGAGCCCCCCAGTTTGCTCTTGATGGGCGTGAAGATGTTCCAGGGTTTCCTTAGACAGTGTGATGACATGCACTGGCTCTGTCTCGGAGGGCTCCATCTGGCTTTCGATCATATTGAGGCTCTGAATGTGTTCAGTTTGCTCCTGCTGAGCTGAAAGAATTAAATTCTGCAGTTGCTCTGGTTGCTGCGTGAGCAAAGTGAGATTAGAAGCTTGGTCTGTGGTCATGTTCTGGGAACCCTCAGTGGCCACGATGCTGATACCCTGGCTAGGGCCCGGCATAAAATTGATGTTGTGTACAGAATCGGTCACAAGAAGCTGAATCTCCTGCTCTCCAGAGGCAGAGAGCTGGTAGGGCTGTAGCTGAAGAATATTCCGGACCTCTTCGGGGTTACCACTGCTGGAAACGCTGCTGGCTTCCGGTGTATGCTTCTCTTTGCTGTGGATTTTCAGGTGAGCCTTCAAGTTGTCTAGGCGAGCGAACTGCAAGTTACACTCAGAGCACGAGAAAGGCTTTTTGCCTGTGTGGAGAATGCAATGCCTCCTCTTGGCGCTGGAATCAGAAAAAGACTTGCCACATATGCTGCAGGAATATGGCTTCTCTCCTCTACAAGAAAATACACGTTTTACTTTAAACATAGAAATCAGACATGCTGGTGCATACCGGTAACCCCCAAATCGTTTTTAGGCTGAGGCAGAAAGATCAAAAGTCTCAGCACAGTCTGAACAACCTGGCAATGTAGCAAGACTGTTTTGGAGTAAGACAAAAAAAGAGGGCTTCAAAAACCTTGGGTTCAACGCCCAGTACTGCAAAAACAAACAGAAACTAGAAATATCTATTTATTTACCTCCGTTTATCTGGGGAGAAGCAACCAAGGAGTACGTGCTAAACACAAACTAGACTGAACCGGGAGCCACAGAGTCTCGGGTTCTCCTAACTTACAGACTTACAGTGAGTCAGACTGCCACAGGTTTGCTTTCTACTTTTTTCCTTTTTGAGTCTCTACTCTTAAAAAATAAAAAAGGGTTAAAAAATAAAATATAAAAAAGAGTAGGAGTGGTGTTTGAGGAAGGACGGCAGTTGGAGTTCAACTAGATGAGATAAAATTTTATGATTCCATGGAATATATTTCAGATAAGAAAGTACATACTTACACACTACACATACAGTTTTCCCCACCCAAGTACCGCGGGTGAGACAACCATCTGCTTGCCAGGCAGGTGCTTGTGCTGCTGAGCTAAATCCTGATAGAGTACTTGTTTTAGTTTTGCTTTAGGGTTTTTTTTTTCCTGGTACCAGCTTGCAGTTGCTTATGCCTCTTGCTTATCTCTGGCCTTTACGTTAGTTCTTACTTTATGGGGTCCAGGCTGGCCTTTAGCTTGACATGTAGCTCAGGCTAGCTGTAAACTAGTGACTCTCTTGCCTCAGCCTCCGCATGCTGGAATTAGTGGCATCTGTCACCTTAATGGCTATTTTTGACTGAAGATTTAAGCTTTGGGCTAGCCCCCAACACAAAATGAAAATTCAAAAAATGAAATCAACGACATACATCCTTACTGGCCAGAATCAGTTTTGTTAATTCTATGTAAGGAATTTTATTACTTATAGATAAACAACCTAGGTAATTATAGCAGAGTAACAATTTAGGTAAAAATAGTATACAGGTTAACACACGGAACACCCACAGTTAAAGGCAGCTTCCACAGCACTGCAATGTCTGCAGAACTTACCGATGAATTCTGATGTGAGTCTGAAGAGAACTCTTCGCTGTGAAAGATTTGCCACAAATTTCACAAGTAAACGGCTTTTCACCTAAAAAAAGAAAAGCATTTGGAAATATACATTTGGAAACAAGCAAATCAGGCAGCCACTCTGCACCTCCCACAGTGTGGGGAGCCCGGGGAAGGCAGAGAAGCAGGTGTGGGTGCCTCCCTGCCACTCTGTGTCTGCTATCAACTGGGGACCGAACCCGGGACCTCTGGGCTGAGCCACATCCCCGACCCTTTTTTTTTTTAGACTCGGTCTTGCTGAGTAACTCATTCAGCTGCCCAGGCTGTGCTTAAGTGATGATCCTCTTCCCTCAGCCTTCCATAGCGCGTGGACTGTAAGCACGCATCACTGTGCCGGGTTCCCCTAAACTGTTAGAGACTAACAGAAGGCAGCATCTATATGAAGCGAACAAAGGAGCTCAACACGTTGCCTTCTGCATTTTCCATGCTCAGGTGTCACAGTGGCCTCTGCATTCTGCTTTACCACCTGGCGAGGTGGGAGCCAAAAGGACTCCCACACCCTGGGAAGACTGATGCAATTATTCACATTTATCTTCAGATATATCCGATAAACCCAGAATCTTGGCCCCCTCTCAAGGTTGCTGCCAGGCGGCTCCCTTGCCGTGTCTCTCAGCTTCTGCTCACATGCTGCAGTCTCCCAGTGAGACTGTCATCTCCACCACTGGGAATCCACTCCAGGGTTACCAATACCACTCCATTCACAAAGGCACCGCCCCTCTACACGGTTCCATCAGCTGCTTCTTTTTCTTCTTTTTGAGACACATCCCTCACATGCAGTGGATCAGCTTAATTTTTTTTTGAGACAGGGTTCTGCTATGCAGACTCAAACTTGTGATAATCCTTCTGCCTCAGCCTCTCCAGTGTTGGGATTATAGGCATGTACCACTGTGCCCACCATAATCCAGTTAAATTTCTATTTTCTTTTCTTGAGCCCTGAGCAGTGAACACAGGGCCTCACATGTACTATGCTGTCCATCACGGTGCTGTGTTCCCCAACCTCCAAAACTTAGGGCATGTGGGTGAGGGGGGCACATTCCAACTATTCCAACCCCGTGGTTTTTTATTTGTTCCCAAATTCAAGTCTGCAACCTTCAACTGAATTACCTGTTTTTCTTTAAGTTTATTCAGTTCTGAAACACACACAGACAATCAACAAAGTGCAGAGGTAAGAAACAGAAAATCGAAGGTACAACAGGCCTCAAAAAAGGAGGTGTGGCCTACTTGAGAGACAAGTAAAGTAGAGCTGTGCTCTGCTGAGTGTTGACAGGGACAGCAACACCACCAGTGGTGGCAGGAGGGTGGAGTACGCAGCGGCAGGACCGAGCTGGACTGGAGAGGAAACTGCACGGCACTGCCATGAACGGCACACCCAAAGCCTGTATTGGAAGTGTCCACACACTACCGCCTTGGAGGGGCTGGGGATTTGCTATGAGCCGTGGTGGAAATCTATAATGAGGCCACACCTCTGAGAGCTATAAACTCCAGGCAGAGGATGCAGTGCAGGGCAACTTGGGGGTTTCCAGCAGCAAGATGACCCCTAAAGGTATAAGAAAGCAAGCCTGGGATGGAGGGGACAGTGGGCTGAGGCCAGCGCTCCCTGCAACAGTGCACACACGAGGTGATGAGGCCCGGACCAGAGGTGGCAGGAGGCAAATGGATCAAGGGTGGGATGACAGGACCACAGTGGCAAGGAGACCAGCACACAGTCCATCACAGGAGAAGGACAGAGGTTCCCCCAGGGTGTGGCCACAGAGGACTGTGCCATCTGGCTTGTCCTGGGGTCTCTCAGTCCACTCTCCACACTACTGTCCCAGATGCTTTGAAAATCTGGGCCCGTGCTCCTGCTTATTTAGCAATGCAGCGAGTGGCAGGCTTGTGCCCTCCACTGGCTTAACCCAGAGTGGCTGTCTTGGTGATAGTAGCAGCAGGCAAGCAGCTTGCACATGAGAGCACCAGGGCACGCTGCTGTTGTGTCAAGCCACATCACCATTGTAAAAGGCTGTGCGAGGGGCCAAGGATATAGCTCGGTGGCACAACTGCCTACCTGCCAAGCACAAGGTCCTGAATTCGATTCCCAGTACCAAAAACCAATCTGAAATAAACAAAAATGAAAAATCTCCTAAAATACAAACCAACAAAAATGCTGGGTGTGGTAGTGCATGCCTACAATCCCAGCACTGGGGAGGCTGAGGCAGGCAGACTGTTGCAAGTTCGCAATCATCCTGGACTACAAAGTGAGCTCAAGGCCAGTCTAAATTGCATAGTGAGACAGTTCCAAAAAGACACTCACACACACACAAAAAAGGATCATGAATATCCCCATGAGTTTGAGGCCAACCTGGGCTACATAGTGAGTTAAAGGTCAGCCTACAATATTTAATAAAACCTGTCTCAAAAACACACAACGATAGTAACAATAAAAACTAAAAGGCTGTCTATGTCCCATCATGTCTACTGGCCAAAACGTACCAATCAATCTCTTACCAAGGGACACTTTAGCAGTTTCTATTATAATCAGTCCTGCCTGTGATGAATAGCCTTCTACAAACATTTTTCCCCAAATGGAAAGACAGTTGAGAAACTATCAGTTTCTTCTCATGAAGTTTCCACATTACATTCCCACCAACAGTACATAGCAATGTCCATTTCCTCACATCTGCCAATCTAATGGACAAAAATCCTGCACACTCTTTTGATGACCAACACTGCTGCCCTGGTTTTATAGATGACGACCTGCCATTCCTATGCTGTGTTCTGTGGAGTGTGTTTCATGTCTCCTGCCTGGTTTCCTGTTGGGGTACCCTTTTTCTTATTTGGGATATTAGTACGCTGTCATATACAGCAACTATCCCCTCCCACCCTAGACGAAAAATCTCCTTCACTTCAGCCTTCTCTTGCCGGAAGGGGCCACTAAGGGGCGCCTCCCAGGCTCTCCTGCCAGGGCTGGCCTGAGGTCTTTACAAGACACAAATCAAAACCTTCTCTCCCTGCCTTCGTGGTGCTCCCCCGCTGTCCCGTGGCTGTCACCTCTTCTGGGCCTCGTTCCCTCAAGCTTTCCACTCTGCTCCGACCTGGGCCACCTCTTCTGGCTTCCTGTGTCAGCCAGCATGTGCTCTGGCTTCCTGATCAGGTCTGTCCTCTAAGTGCTTTCCCAGACCTTCTGGGGAACAAGACCCCCCACCCTCTCTTTGGCTCCATCCTGAAATTCTTGGCATGTGGACTCCGTAAGGAAGATGGTGAGGGGCCCTAGACCCCAGAAAGATGAGGACAAACAAGATGAGTGGATCCTCTCCCTGGGGAGTCCGCCATACTGTCACACACCATTTATGGGTAAATGCGTTTCCAGCTCTCCCAGCACGTCCTGGACTCCACATTCCAGCAGTCCACTGCCTACTCCGTATCTGCACCTGTTGCCAAACAGCCCTGGACCAACTGGACCAACTGGCCAACTGACCACCATCTAACTCTTAATTTGTTCCTAGGTTTCCCTCCTTCCAGTTGCTTCTCACCTCACATCTGATCGTGAGCAAACCATGCCAGCTTCCTCAGAATCTGTTCCCCCACTACTGCACGGTGCCAAGCCCTTCGGGGCAGCAGCCTGACACATCTCTACTCCAGCTTGCCTCACCCCAGCCCACTCAGGAGTGGGAGTGATCCTACAGCAGTCTCATGACGTCCCTCCACTTCACTCAGAAAACCCGAGTGGCTTTAAGTATTCAAGTCTGCACCCACTTGAAAATTACAGAGGGTGCATCTTTTTGTTGTTGTTTTTTTGATCCCAGGGATTGACCTCGCATTTGCCAAGCAGGCACTTCCACCGCTGAGCTAAACAGGGCTTCGCTACGTAGTTAAAGTGAACTCACTCTGTAGCCCAGGCTGGTCTCAAACTCTTGGTGATCATTCTGCCTCAGCTTCTTGGGATTCTGGGTGTGTGCCACCATGGTAAGAAGGGTGCTTCTGAGGCTCTACCCAGGCCATGGAGTCAGAATCCCTTGGGCTGGGACCCAGCTTTCTGGGTAGAGTCTGTGTCTGGTGAGGACTGAGCTGGGTGTGGTGCACACGCCTGTAATCCCAGCACCGGGGAGGCTGTGCCAGGATCACCAGGAGTTTGAGGCCAGCCTTAGACACCGAGTAAGTTCAAGGCTATGAACTCACATAGCGAGACCCCGTCTGAGAAAGCCTAAAAGAAAAAATAAGAATAAAGCGAGAACCTCTGCCTGACACGCATTCCAGCTGGCACGAAGTCCCCGATATCGCCTTCTCCTACTGTCGACTGCCAGCGCCTCTCCTCTGCTGTGGCCTCGGCTGCCTCCTGGTGCTTCTGCAGTACGCCCGAATGCACCCCACCTGCAGTGCTCTCACCTGCATATCTGCAGTGACTGGCTGTTCCCCTACCACACTGATCTGCATCCACACTGCCACACTTTGTCACTGTCCCAGAACGGTCCGATATGGAAAAGCAGCCCCTTCCCACACTGTTTCCCTACCTGTGTTTCATTGTAAAACCACTTTTACATAAACTTTTATAGATTAGCAAAATCATTAATCTACAATGGGAAGTTTTTCTTACAAATTACCATACTTGTAACATCTACCCCTTAGCACAAGGTGCAAAAGCACGTAAGTGAAAAAACGTAACGTGCTCTAACCAGTTGTGTCTTCGTTGGCCCTGTGACTGATTTTTCCGAGGTGCTGCTGCTCTGAGGGAAGCGCAGGGAATTCTCAGTGCCTCCGGCACCTTGTGCCTTCACACTTTTACTCTGTCATCTTCAGTGCTGAGGTAAAGGAAAAGCGAAGTACAAAACCAGACTCACTGATGCCACTGTTCTGTGGCATTAAATGAATTTTCATACATGAACAGCGGTAGTGACCTATTTTGGTAGTCTACAGAGAGATGTAACGGCCCCACAGAGCAGTGCTGACCATATTCTTCCCTGGGCTGTCCAATGACCTACTTGTAAAATCTGAACCCTATTTACAGTAAACATTCCCCTGCATAGGCTGGGCAGGGACTCAGCACCGCCCCGTGCAGCAAACATCAAGCGTGCCAGGGCAGGTGGCTGGGCGGTGTGTTACCTGTGTGGGTTCGGAGGTGTTTCTTTAGCTGAGAGACATCCATGAATTTGCGATGGCAGTGGTTACATTCCGGTAATGAGTGGCCTTGTCGCAATAATAAAAAAAGTGTCAGTGCATATATGCTCTCCCTGCATTTCTTCAGTGATTTGTGTTAAAGCACTTCCCTGAAAAATAATCACTTTAAATATGGTACTTTAACAACAACACAATTCTTTCACCAACTTGGTAACAGTTACTATTTCCTAATGTAGTCAGCTCACTGCCTCCCCCAAGAGAGTCGGGACCTCCCAGTCCTCACAGACGGAACCCTTTCCCAAAGCACGGGTGTGAGTAGCTGGCGATCCCTCCCGCCTTCATTCTTCATTCATCTGGCAGGAAGGAGAAAAGGACATGGGGTTGACCAGGCTGGAGAAAAGCCTGAACTGGTCACTATGGGGATGGGGCCTCTGTCTAGGCACCACTGCCAGTCAATCTGACAAAGTCCTCTTGGACAAGTGGCGCTTTTTAAACATACCAGTTCTGCAGATTTTCTACGTGTAGCACCAAAACTATGGTACAAAAATTTAGTCATGATACTGCAGAGCATGAAGACCTCTAATTTACATGACTTTAGAGAATCTGTTCTCAAAATACCCATTTATCATCTACAGTATGAATCTAATACTTTAGAAATAGTTTATATTTGCATTTTTCCCTGCAATCCAAACTTCCTCTCACTTCATGAATATTGTACCTGTATGAACTCGGTAATGGCTTTTTAGTTGTCTTTTCTGGCTGAAATATTTTCCACACTGATCACAGGTAAAAGATTTCTGTCCTGCCAAATAAAAAATAAAACACTTAAACCATGCAAAAAAACTGCAGAGATCTAGAATAGTCACTAAGGAGGTAAATAACAGAGTGAGCCCAGACTACCATGTTCTACAAAGGATAAAGTGACTACGGACAACCTTGAAAGCCTTCAGTGAGAAGCAAAAGCCATGTAAGGCGACAGGACTGATGGGAAGCAGGGTAGAACTGGAGAATTCAAGTCTCCCTCAGAAGTACTCAATTAAAACAGCTGCAAACTCTGGTAGTCAAACCAAGACCCTCTGCACACTGAACGCCCAGGGGCAGTTCATTCGTGTCAGGTGAAAGCTCAGTGCTGTGTAAAACTCGGAACTGAGTTCCGACAGAGGCACAGACCTGTCTTGCCACAACACCATGTAGAAAATGACAGATCCAGAAATGGCACTTAGTGCCCAGAAACACCCGCCCTGCAGAGTGGGGATCTGGTGACAGGTGGCCCTGTGGTGCCAGGTTAGCTACCTGAGTGCAGGCTCATGTGCTCCAGCAGCGAGTGCTTGGTGGTCAGAGCCTTGTTACACACAGTGCAGGTGTACGGCCGCTCGCCCGTGTGCATCCTGGTGTGGACCTGTAAGGAGTGCTTCTGGGCAAAGCCTTTTCCACACTCATTACACTTGAAGGGCCGCTCCCCTAGAATGAGAAGTCCAGAAGCAGGCGTAAACACAAACAGAAATAGTAAAAAGAGAGCTTATCTTAAAGGGTTGACAGCCAAAGATCAAGGACTAGGAGAGAGAATATCAGCAATAAAAATTTGGGTGTTGACACTGATTAATTCAAAGCCAGCAGAGAGGAACAATGAGATACAACCTAATTTCTCAGGCCAAACCTCTAAAAGGCTCAGGAATTGGCAGCAGCCATGACCTCTGAAAACACAGAAGAACAGTTTGTTTCAAAAGTAGTGAGACCTCCAACACAGTCCCCTATCCCACACTGCTGAGGGCCTGGCGCTCTCCCAACAGAAGATGGAGATTATTCTCAAGGAGCATAGAAGGGTCTTTGGATTTGGGGTTGCCAAGCACAGGTGAGCAGGCCTCTTACAGGAAGACACAGTCTAAGTCTACATTTGGGAGAACTTCCATTCCACTCAGACACTGGCAGAGAGGCCCGCTGCCTTCATAAAATCACTGAGTTTGATGTCAGCCTGGACTACACAGTAAGATCCTGTTTCCCAAAAAACCATCAGCATTCAAGGAAAATCTTTCATAGAGAGATAGGAAGAGAAAAAGAGATACCAAGAGAGATAAGAAGACAAAAACTAATGTGCAGAAGACAGACTGCCCAGGATGAAGAAGTAACTGTTAGCATTCATATTTTTATGCCAGGCATGGTGGGCACATCTATAATCCCAGCACTTGGGAGGCAGAGGCAGGAGGATCCTGTGAGTTTGAGGCCAGCCTGCACTACATAGTGAGACCCTGTCTCAAACAAACAAAAAAGAAACAAAACAAAAGGAGCTGGACATAGTGGCACACACCCGCAACTCCAGCCTGTCAGCCTAGAGGCAAGAGGCTCATGAGCCTGGGGAATTGAGCAACCAACAAAAACAAAACAAAACAAGAAAAGATAAAAGCAGAACTCTGTCAGAAAGTACAACGAACAATGGAAAACATGAATGAAAAGATAAGGAAATCAGAGTCTGTGAGGACTCTAAGACACGATAAGGAATTGCAGTCTGTGAGGTTCACCATCCAAATGGCAGTTCTGGAAAGGAAGAACAGAAAACAGATAGGAATTTCACCTATGAAATAAGCAAATTTTCTAGAACTGATCAACTGGAGATTCCAATCTGTTGGATCAAATGGAAGAAAATGGACTACATGACTTAAAATATAGCCAGAGCAATAAGGTAAAAGAAAGACAGATAGACAGACAGAGACAAGACATGAAAAAAGGAAGACAAATTATTTCTGTCTGTAAATAATATGATTCAATACATAGAAAATTCTAAAGACACCAACAAAAGACTTTAGAAGTAATAAACTAATTCAGTAATACAGTAGGACACAAAATCAATCAACATACAAAAATGAGAAGTATTTCTATACATCAATAATGAACTTACTGAGAAAGAAATAAAGAAAGTAATTCTATTCACATCACCTCCAACAAACTTGTCTAAGGATGTGAAAGATCTCTATAATGCAAAGTACCAACTTCTGGGTTGTGGATGCAGCTCAGCGGCAGGATGTACAATGCCTGGTTCAATCCCCAGGACTTCAAATAAACACCCCAAAACAAAAACGAAGAAAGAAAAAGAAAAAGAAAGTTACCAAGCACTGAAGAAGGAAACTGAAGAAACCCTAGAAGGTGAAATGATCTTCCATGTTTATGAACTAAGAGAATTAATATTGGTAAAATGGCCATCAATAGAGCCAATGCAATTCCCACCAAAATACCAACATCATTTTTCACAGAACTAGAAAAACAATCCTAAAATTCATATGGAAGCACAAAAGACTTCCAAGTAGACAAAACAATCCTGAACTGGAGGCACTACAGTACTGAATTTCAAAACATAATACAGAGCTACAGTAACAAAACACTAGCCACAATTCAAGCACTCAAAACGCACATGTGGCTGACGGCCACTGAGCTGGACAATGTGGACAGAGAACATTTCCATCTTCCATCTTCCATCGTCACAAGAGTCTCCTGGGCCAGAGGGACCAAAGAAGAAAAGACTTGCAGCTAGAGGGCTGAATTACAAAGCTATCCCGGAAAGCTAGGCAAAACAATACTGTGGTTAAAATGAGGAGTGTTCAACAATCAGAAAGCAGAATAAACCAAGCTGAAGACTGTTAACCAGACAAGACTAAAGCCTCTGACTGCTGGGTTCAAATCCCAGCTCTACTGCAGAATGGGTACACCTGGGCAAATTACTTCAGCTCTCCAGGACTGGGCTTCTTCATCTGTACAATGACATGATACTACCATCTACCCTGTACGGTTGTCCCAAGAATGGAATGCATAACATGTTCAAAAGTTACGTCCCATAGGAGCTGCACAGTAATGAAAGCTATTATCATCACTATTCCAAAACACACTGCAGTAAGTTTTGAAAGCGTAATTACCCGTGTGACTCCTCTGATGGATTGCTAAAAAGTGACTGTACTTAAACACTTTGCCACAGTCTTTACAATGGGCCTCGGGACCACTGGGGCGTTTTCTCTTTCCACACACCTTCTTGGCTGAACCCTGTTCTTCGTCATCCCCAGTAAGTTTGTAATCTTTCAGTTTGACGGACCTGCGGATCCTCCGCTTGCTGTGCCGACTCTGGCTGTCCTGCCCATCCTGGATCTTGGGATCACAGTTCTCATCTTTCTCAGCTGGTGTCACCTCCACTCCACCAGCCTCACGAGCAGGCTCAGTGTCTTCTTTTGCTTTTGCTGGAATCTGTTCAGTTAGCTCATTGTCTCCTTCTTTAACCACGAAGTTCTGTCCATTCTGAACTGAATGGTTCACTCTTAGCTGTATTTCCTCCTCTGCAGCCAGTTCTGATTTTCCTTCTTGCAAACTATTGACTTTTCTTGGTCTTCCCCGTTTCCGCTTTGGAGGATCGTTTTTCTTATTAGAAATAACCACCATGGAAGCACCAGCACTGTTCAAAGTCGCTGCCTTTGGGGAGCTATGATTATTCTGGAAGTCTGTGTAAGCTTTTACTAGGTCATAGACTTTTAAGAATTGAGCAGTAGCCAGGACTTGTTCTGTGCTTTTCTCACTAGCATGGAGATAACCTGTGTAAATAAATTCCAGCAGGATACCAAAAATGTCTGCAACCATGCCTTCCAGCATATAAATGGACTGTCCAATCTCTCCCTCTTCTGCAAACATCATTGAGAAATACTCACTACTGGCGGCAAGTAAGGCTTTGTGGGCCCGGAAATGTACATTCTCCACAATTAAAGTAATGTCACAGAGAAAGCCCTTCTTTCTTTGATCCTCGAAGCTGGCTAGGACAGTGTCACTGTGAGTATCTGAGTGTACAACAAGCTGCCCTCCAGGAACCTCTGGTGATGCTTCTGCCATTTTCTTCACATGCCAAGAAGGCTTAACTCTGAAATAAGAAAAGGATGTTTAAACAGGACTAAGCACTGTTTAACAAGGTTACTCCCAGCCTACATGAACTTGCAATTTCCTTCAAATTGCTATATTACCTTCGTCTGTTTAGAAATTGAGGTGTAGGTTCTCAGTCTTACTGCACAGTACATAGCTGGACTAATTCCCAGTATCTGAATAACCTCTCTGGGTGCGGTTTCTCCTGTGGAAGTAAGGAATGGAATCAATCCACCACCTGCAAAGTCCTTCCTGCACTAACTTTTAGGGCTACACAATTACTGACGGGGAACTACAATGCCTCGATCTCACACGTTATTATTTCATCTGTAAGAACAAATATTTTATTTATTTCTCCAGAGACAAATTCTTGCTATGTAGTGCTGGCTGGCCTTGTAGCCCTGTGAACTCACGGCGATCCTCCTGCCTGTCACCCGAGTGCTGGCATTACGAGAGCGTGCCACCACGTCTCACAAGAACAAATATTTTAAAAGGCAAAGAGAACGTACAAACTCCAACTGAATCTGGGAAAGCATAACATAAGCCGCGCGAGGTTTCACACTGAAGGGCGGCGTCGCAGGGCCGGGCGGGCACCAGACAGCGGGTGTGAAGCCCCGGGCGCTCCATTCCCTCAGCGGGCAGCCGGGGAGCGGCCCGCGGGAGGCCCCACCTCAGCCCGGGTCTGCAGGCCGCCGGGGAAGGGCACGTCCGGGGAGAGGTCGGCGCGGCCCAGGGACCCGAGCCCACGGACGCCGTCGCGCTGCAGACCTACCTCTCGGCGGCATGCGGCGGGGTACGGAGAGCGGGCACCCGGGCCTAGCGGACGGCCCCACAGCACCAGCCCGCAGCTGCGGCTCCGGCGCCGCGACTGCCAACCCGGAAGCGCGACGGCGCGAGCAGCCTGCGCGCGGACGCCAGGCCACGTGGCCCGCGGAGGGGGCCTAGCGCGCGGCAGGCGGTGGTGATTGGCGGGGCGGGGCCGGGGCGGGGCTTGGGCGGGAAGGGGCGGGGCCCAAGGTCGGGTGTTTGCCCAAGAGTAAAGGGGCGGGGCCCAAGGTCGGGTGTTTGCCCAAGAGTCCCAAGAAAAGGTTTTTTTGCCACAAAATGAAGGCGCGGGACTGCGTTGGCAGTGTAACCTGCCCGTGAGGGGATTTTTGCGTCATATTAGGCCGTTACTTCCTTATGGGTTTCATAGTTTTAGTTCTCCCCAGACGCTCAGTGTGGTGCTGAGGTCTCACCCGCGTAGTGACCTGATGAAATCCTCTACCTTGATCTTCCTCATCACCAGAACTTCGAGGAGTAGTCAAGATCATAAAGGAATGATGAGCAGGTTTTACTCTGGTACCGAATATATAGAATTTATTTACTGAGAATACAAAGAGTTACATAAAGAATTGATGAAACATAATTTTTAAAACGACAGTGAATCAGAAAGCAAAGGAAATAATTCACAAAAGAGAAAATAGGGCTGGTGACTAGCACATAGACTAATGTTTAATCTCACTGTTAATTCAGATGAAAGTAACAAGGCTCTGCTTTGCACTCATTAAGGAAAACAAAACAAAAACTAAGAAGGTATACCAAATTATAGTAAAAAAGTGAAATAAAATTGGTGCTTTTGGGGACTCCTGACAATCACGTGGAAAGTAATTTGGGTAATATGAACTGTGAATTCATGACCTTTGACCCAGAAGTTTTATGTCCTAGAATTTTTATCAGGCCAATAATCACAAAAATGGGGGAAGGGTTAATCACAGTACTTTTTAAAACTTGTAAGGCATGTTTTAAAAAAAGGCAGGGATTCTTTACAGTGGTTATATTAATTATTCATCTTAGGGACTGTCCAACAGGAACTACCTGTCTTCCTTGTGTGGAATTAAATACCCTTTTAGTGACAGTGACGAGCCAAGCTGAGGCACAGGTTGGCTCCAGGACTACTACACTTCAGCCTCTTCCCATGCATGGACCTGGGGCAGTAGTATGGGTGGGGCGGGGCCTGCAAATTCCCTGAGCCCCAGTTAGCACCCTGGGCTGACCAGCCACTCCAGGGGAGATGGCAAGGGTTCTTGGACACCCAATCAGAATATACATTCATAAGGTCTGAGACAGTAGTTAACGGCTTATTCAAACTAACATGCAAACATAACCTGGAAACAGGAAGGGATTTCCACAAAAGGACTTTAAATGCTTTAAATGATACATGATCTCCTTTCTTATAGAAGAAACATCACCTTCCCCGCTTAGTGACACAAAGCCCTTGCCATTGCTTGCTAAAGAAAGTGCAAGCTGCTCCCCTGAGAAGGCAAGCAAGCATGACAGGTGAGTGTAAGTCCTTTGTGGGGTAGACCTGGGAAGATCTACCCTTCCAAGGGTAGGCTCCAAGGACTTTTCCTCAAAGGCTTTCCGTAATATTTTTTGTACTCTAATGTGCACACATGTGCTGGGGCTCACAAAGCACTCTGAGCAACGACACACTTTCAAAACACTGACACAATTCTTTCAGATTCCACAATGTACTAGGTCGTGGAAAAAGTAACAGCAAATCTCTGGATCAAGTCTGATCAGGGTCTGAATTTTTTTTTGTCTTTTCTCCTTTTTATCAGTACCGGGGATTGAACTCACGACCACCTGCTTGCAAGGCAGGTGCTTATGCTGCTGAGCTAAACCCCTAGTCCCCAAGGGTCTGAGTCTTGTCTCTACTACTTTGTGATCTTGGGTGAACAGCTCTTCTCATGTGCATAAATGCAATGTGTAGGAGTAGATGAGATTATACCTGTCAGGTCAATAGCACACTGTCTTGCACATGGCAAACAGCCTGGAAATGGTTAGCAGTCTATACTTACTCTAAACAAGATTCTGTGTATAACTAACTGTATTTGATGTCAGTGTCAGGAATCTGCAATTTCTAGAGCTATAAATTACAGTACTTTGGGGAATTTAATTTCCATACCCCATCCATGGCTCCTACCTGATGCACTCTGTTGCAAAGATTTACTCAATAGAAGAAACCATGTAGGGAGAGGTAGAAGGCATGCTTTGAGGAATTCTCCTCTGCCACATGCGTCTTTCTTGTCACCCTACCTGGGAGCCAGCCAACTGTGGACTGAAATCTCTACAAACTGAGCCAAAATAAATCTTTTCTCCTTGGAGTTGTGAGTATTGGGTATTATGTCTCAGCCATGAAAACATAATGCGGACCCTGGGAGCCAGGGCAGACTTTCACTTAGTGAATCTGGTCCTGACATCCTTTCTTTTTTCTTTTCTTTTTTTCATATTCCCTCTTTATCTTCTTCCAAAAATACACAGGGATAGCTAGGAATATAGCTCAGTGGCATAGTGCCTGCCTGGAAAGTGAGAAGTCCTGAATTTCATTTCTGGTAAAAAACAAAACAAAACAAACAAAAACAAGGAAAATCTTACAGACATGTGGTACATTTAAAATGATTATGAGTGCCCAATGTCTGCCCCCAAAAACATTACCTTTAGGTTATATTTTATAAACTTGAGACTGATTTAAAATAGAAGATGTAAAATGAATTGATTCTTCTGTATATTTTTTCCAAATAGAAGTTAAAGAGTAAAAAGATATGGCCTCAAACTTGGTTTTATATTATAGGAAGAAAATAAATGAAGAACCCGTTGAACAATCTATAGCTTTTTTCACTTTTCTCTCATGGGTTGTGTCATGGTTTATGTCTGTGGCCCCCAGGCCTCATGAGTTTACATTGTGTATTTGTGATTGGTTCATTGTCTAGTGCTTGGATTGATGATGTCAGTGCTCCACCCACAAAGGGGTGGAGCTAGGATGTGATGTAATGGCGGGAAGAAGGCATGTCTTGCTCTTTGAGGGTTCCTGCTTGCTGTTTGCAGCTGCTGTGGACTGCGGCCCTGCCATGCCCACCTGCCTTGGAGCCAACTGAGTATGGACTGAAACCTTCAAAAACTATAAAAATAAACCTTTCCTTTCCCAACTTAGTGTACCAGGTATTTTGTCTCAGCAATGAGTAAAAAGTAACTAAGACAGGTTGTAAGCATGTGGTGTTATCTAACAAAAGAAAGCACTCGGAGTAGCTTAGAATATTAAGGAAAATATTGTTATAATACTGTTATGACTGATACAAGAAAGAACAAGAAGTGGCAATTAATACCTCCTTGGGAAATTTTTAATTAGTCTATTTATAGTCACAAACTTAAAACAAAGAATATTCACATGACTATAATTCAGCTAGGCGAATGCATCTAAAGCAATGTGTTGTTTTGTGTCACACGTTTTTTCTGTCTGCTGTGTTTTTAATGGTAATTGAAGTGCCTGCAGCTGCTTCATTTAAAAATTTTGAGCTCATATGAATTTTCTTTTTTAATTTTAATTTTAAGTTTAGGCTTTATAGTCTTCTGATTATTAGGGCTTTCTATAAAAACCAATTATAGAATATTCAAGGATTTCCAAACTCACACTAGAGGGTAAAAATTTCTAGGCTCAAGGCTCATATAAATTTACAAATAAGGACCTTAAGTTTGGTAAAGTTTGTAAGATTTAGGCAAATATGTAATGATTCTGTGTGTTTACTCTCAGATATGTGTTGTCCTCTAAAAGTTCTATTTAAATTGGTTTATAGATAAATAAACACTCATATGAAGCCCAGTGCTTTTGGTTTGCATGGCTACACAGTGGACTAGTTTAAACCGAGTTTTAAAAATTAAGGATTATTTAAATGTTGACTTGTGTATCAGTCGGTGCTCACTAGAGAAACAGATTTTACACAGGATATATAAATATATGAGAATCTACACAACTGGCTTATCATGGCAGCCTGCAGCCAGACGAGGAAGAGTGCGGAGGGGGTCTGCACGCTGGAGACTGAAAGTTCAGCCGAAGGTCTAGAGCTCACTGCAGTGTTCCAGGAGGTCACGGGCCTGTGACAGAAGCCAGGAAAGGACATCCAGGGTGAAGCTCTTCTGAAGAAGCAGAACCAGCCTTCCTTCTTCATTTCCCTGTTGTATCACTCAGGCGATTTGCCCACTGGCTGCCGTCACTTACACCCAGTGAATCCCGGCAGATTTTCAGTAAATCACCTCCTATACACCCCAACTATGCTGATCCAATTTAGTTGGGCATTTCTTACCTAGGTTGACATGAGCAGTTAACTAGCACAGCTTGTTATAAAATGTTTTCAGGGTTCAGGTTGTAATTCGTTAAATAAACAGCTATTATCTTAAGTTGTAGGACACCCAATATATGATTGAGAATATATACATATATATATCTAAAAATAAAATGTAGTGAGTCTCACCTTTTAATATTGCTTACAGAGTTAAAATTACTTAAGTTTAATGCATGCTATGTAACTAGTAAGTGTGGTCTTTTGTACAAACCTTAGAGATTTTTGGTACGTCTTTAAATTGGTCCTGCCATTTAAAATTTGATCTCTGAATAAAACTAAATAAAACTTGACCTCTGCATCGTGTTGGCTTTGACTAAAACAAAACAAACACTTTGTTATTATATAAATGCAATACATTCATGTGTTGGGTAATAAATCTATTTGTGGCCTTTAACACTGTTTTCTAAACTTGTAAGAACTCTAAGGATATCCTTTAATTCCTGTCAGTGCAGTTACACCAAGTAAACAACTTGTTTAAGGCATCTAAATTTTTCCTCAAGAATAAAAACTAAGTTAATATGTGTAAAGGATTTCTGTATAGCTGTGGTGCTAATTATCACTAACCTCTTTATATTCTGAAATATACAAGCTCTCAAAATACACAGTTTACGAGAACAACTTACCATAATAGTATTTTCATACAAAATTGTTTATTTTTTATTTTTATTTTTATTTTTGTGGTATTGGGGATTGAACTCATAGTCTTGTGCTTGCCAGGCAGGTGCTTATACACTGA